GTCACACACACAGTCACACACACACACAGGCAGTCACATACATGGGCAGTCACACAGACAGACAGTCACACACACAGACAGTCACACACAGGCAGGCAGTCACACACAGAGACAGTCACACACACACACAGAGACAGACAGTCACACACACACACACAAGGACAGGCAGTCACACAGACAGTCACACACACACACACACAGACAGTCACACGCACACAGGCAGGCAGTCACACAGACAGACAGTCACACACACACACAGACAGACAGTCACACAAACAGGCAAACAGTCACACACACACACTTACCTCTTTCCAGTGGATGCAGTTGGCTGATGGGGAAGCATCTTTCCCTCTTCCTGTACAGCAGGGGCTTCGGGAGGTATTAGCCCCGTCTCCGCCTCTCGATAAGCCCCGCCTCCGCCGCTCGGTAAACCCCGCCCCCTCTGCCGCGATTTTTTTTTTTTTTAAATAGACCCGGGTGGAGAATAATTAATCCTCCAGCCAGGTACCTCTTTTAGCTCCCCTGCACTCCGGCCATGAGTGAGCTGTGTCGGCCACAGGGCGCCCCCTGTTCCATGGCGCCCTGTGCGGTCGCACAGCTCGCACACCCCTAAGGCCGGCCCTGACTACACCCAGACCGCTTCAGTGAGATGTTGTGGTTTGGGTGCCTCCAGTACTGAGTTTATTTTTTTAAGCTGAGTTTATTTTTTTTTCTGTTTTGGCTTTTTTGAGCTCTATTTTGTAATTCCGGTTTCAATTCATTATAATTTAGTGTTTAGTGCATCATCTGTAATTGAGTAAATGTAATTGAAGGATGCAAGAAAACTAAACTATCACTAAAATAACCATTAGCCTTTTAGGATTCAGATCATTCCAGCATGCACATGTAGGACGGAGCTAAGTTAAAGGATAGTTAAAGTAATTAAGGCACTGGAGTACCTGAAGTTATGGAATACTTTGAGAGGTAAAAGATGGAAGGCCAAAAACATACCTTCACCAGGCATAACAGAGATCACAAGGTTAAATACCAATGCCTAAGTCAGGGAACCAGAAATTAGGCAAGTCAAAAATAAACCAGAAAGTTCTTAAAGGAACACCATAGTCATAAAAACAACTAACTATTATGCCTCTGAAGTTTTACTGCTCAACTATCTACCATTTAAGAGTTAAATCACTTTTGTTTCTGTCCATGCAGCCCTAGCTACACCTCCCCCGGCTATGACTTACACACCCAGCTAAAAAAAATGAAATCATTTTTAATCAGACATTAACTTTCTTTAGAAGTTTTATCTCCTGATCTGTAAATTGAAATTTAATCACACACATAAGGCTCCTGCAAGGCCTAGCAGGCAATTAACAATGCATGTGAAAATAAATTCTAAATTTAACAGACTGTGCAAGAAAGTATAAACATTAGATCTCACTTCACATAAAGTGTTTAGGAAGGCTGTGCATGATGTATGATGGGAGGTGTGTCCAGCGATGCATAAACAGTAGAATCCCTTTAATAACACTCTACTAAGAATAATAGAGCCAATAATGTTTCCCTGTGGGTCCCCAGTGGTTTTAGTCTTACATTAGATTAGTTCTGGATGGTATTGAGCATCAGTTTGAATGTTCTGGAAGATGCAAGTGTTTATGTATCACTAGTTACAGCAAGCAAGGGTCTGGACAAAAGGATTCCCTGGGTTTGTGTCAAACAGCTCAAAAACAATTTGGCATAGATCCAGGAAATTTCACTTGGAACCTGCTAGTTCCATAACCAGTACAAGCAGGTTGTGGTGCTTGTAGTATCCCTTTAATAAAGTCAAAAAGTATGAGATAGATTACAGTTCATAGCTAGTTAAAATATATGTTTAAAACTTACAATGAAAAATGGGTTTCTGTCGTCGTGTTCTGATCTTTGACAAGATCCTTTTTAGAATAACTATCTATTGTTTAGAAAAGTATTGAAATCAGAGCTTCCAAATATAGTTTTTCCATCATATAGTCTACTTTGGATTGAATCTCATATAATGGATCTCCCGCCTTCTGCTTTCGTCTTTAAAATACAGGGAGTGCAGAATTATTAGGCAAGTTGTATTTTTGAGGATTAATTTTATTATTGAACAACAACCATGTTCTCAATGAACCCAAAAAACTCATTAATATCAAAGCTGAATATTTTTTGGAAGTAGTTTTTAGTTTGTTTTTAGTTATAGCTATGTTAGGGGATATCTGTGTGTGCAGGTGACTATTACTGTGCATAATTATTAGGCAACTTAACAAAAAACAAATATATACCCATTTCAATTATTTATTATTACCAGTGAAACCAATATAACATCTCAACATTCACAAATATACATTTTTGACATTCAAAAACAAAACAAAAACAAATCAGTGACCAATATAGCCACTTTTCTTTGCAAGGACACTCAAAAGCCTGCCATCCATGGATTCTGTCAGTGTTTTGATCTGTTCACCATCAACATTGCGTGCAGCAGCAACCACAGCCTCCCAGACACTGTTCAGAGGTGTACTGTTTTCCCTCCTTGTAAATCTCACATTTGATGATGGACCACAGGTTCTCAATGGGGTTCAGATCAGGTGAACAAGGAGGCCATGTCATTAGATTTTCTTCTTTTATACCCTTTCTTGCCAGCCACGCTGTGGAGTACTTGGACGCGTGTGATGGAGCATTGTCCTGCATGAAAATCATGTTTTTCTTGAAGGATGCAGACTTCTTCCTGTACCACTGCTTGAAGAAGGTGTCTTCCAGGAACTGGCAGTAGGACTGGGAGTTGAGCTTGACTCCATCCTCAACCCGAAAAGGCCCCACAAGCTCATCTTTGATGATACCAGCCCAAACCAGTACTCCACCTCCACCTTGCTGGCGTCTGAGTCGGACTGGAGCTCTCTGCCCTTTACCAATCCAGCCACGGCCCATCCATCTGGCCCATCAAGACTCACTCTCATTTCATCGGTCCATAAAACCTTAGAAAAATCAGTCTTGAGATATTTCTTGGCCCAGTCTTGACGTTTCAGCTTGTGTGTCTTGTTCAGTGGTGGTCGTCTTTCAGCCTTTCTTACCTTGGTCATGTCTCTGAGTATTGCACACCTTGTGCTTTTGGGCACTCCGGTGATGTTGCAGCTCTGAAATATGGACAAACTGGTGGCAAGTGGCATCGTGGCAGCTGCACGCTTGACTTTTCTCAGTTCATGGGCAGTTATTTTGCGCCTTGGTTTTTCCACACGCTTCTTGCGACCCTGTTGACTATTTTGAATGAAACGCTTGATTGTTCGATGATCACGCTTCAGAAGCTTTGCAATTTTAAGAGTGCTGCATCCCTCTGCCAGATATCTCACTATTTTTGACTTTTCTGAGCCTGTCAAGTCCTTCTTTTGACCCATTTTGCCAAAGGAAAGGAAGTTGCCTAATAATTATGCACACCTGATATAGGGTGTTGATGTCATTAGACCACACCCTTCTCATTACAGAGATGCACATCACCTAATATGCTTAATTGGTAGTAGGCTTTCGAGCCTATACAGCTTGGAGTAAGACAACATGCATAAAGAGGATGATGTGGTCAAAATACTCATTTGCCTAATAATTCTGCACTCCCTGTACAAAGTAAAAGTACTTAAACAAGAGCCTTCAGCTGTAATAACCTGCATTCACATTTCGATGCTCCAAGTAAGAAGTTGTATTTTAATATCAGCTCAAATTGTATCCTGTTGTGTAGTGAGCCAATGTGGTTAGTTATATGCCATATAATTTACTGGTGTAATCAGTAGAACAAAAACTACTAATGATAATAAAGATAGAAGTCTTGCTATCTGCTAAGACAAATACTACTCGCTAAAAACTTTTGTAGAGAAAGAAAAATATAACCCATTCAATATTATGCACTATCCCTATTACAAAGCAAAATGGGTGTGAGATTATCGGCTGTCCTGAGTTTTTACAAACCTGTTTTTAATCTTCATGGTTAAAAAACAAAACCGTTAATATTCAAATCTTGGGAGGTTTCCGTTCCCTTTGCCTAGGAAATGGGAACACGAATAGTGCAATCCTAAACAAAGTTTTCCTACCTTAGAGTGTATCTGGGAAAACACCTAGCACACAGCTACGCCCTCCATTTAAGGAAACCGGTAAATCCGATAACTACTGCAGTGTGCTGTAGTGTTTATGGTACCCAAAATGCCTTGGCACCCCTTCCCTGTCATCATAGGGGGCCTAGTCGCGGTGTTAAAGCGCCCAGCGTAGCATGGGCCATCCGATGGGCCCCTTCAAAAATATTGACGTTGGTGGTGTTCAGAGCATTCCTGCACACTTCTATGCAAAGAATAAAATACTGCACCCGTCAGAAGCTCTCTTCTCCCTTCTTTATCGATGCCAAAGGACTGCTACACAATATATATACTAATCTGAACCAATTTGAATCAATACTGCTTGAAGGCAAAGATTTCACATGTGAATATACAATAACAATAGGCGTCTTAGATAAATACTTTTATTGTATAATTGCTCGGTTTTACTTTAATATACGTATAGGATAGCATAATCGAATAGTTATGTTTTCATTTTTTTTTATAATATTGTAATATTATTAAATGATGCATGTAAGATATTATTTCCCCCTCCCCCATTTTTTTTTTTTTTACTGTTTTCCCTTTGTTTTAATGTGTTCTGTTTTATGTTATTATTGTTTTTAGATTTTGTTATTCATGTTAAATATTGCAAAAAAAAAAATTGAAAAGAATACAAAGGTTTAGCGAACTAATTGGCAAAACAAGAGCCATCAGCTATTGTAGAGCTACAAATCAAATAAACTTTGATGAAGCACTAAAGGAGTTGTAGCTCAGCTTTAATAGGCCATTCCTCCAAGTTTTACTATCTCTGTACTGACTCCTCGTCTCTCGGAACCAAAGTGACGCGTCTGCGTTTGCCGCCGGGTCTCTATTCCTGGTACACAGTGTCGCCATGGTAACGGCGTGTAGCTAGCGGAAGAGACCCCTGTATTATTCAGTAACTATCGTGGAAGCACATACCGGTGCACCCTTTGATGTGTGCCATTAAACGAGTAGTAAGTAATCTGAAAGCCGCGCTGGAGTACATGGTGAGTCCATTTTTTTTTTTTTTTATAAATTAGTTATGTAATTTATTTTTAAACTCTGGTTGTTTTGGGGGGGTGCACACAAACCAGTAATGCCACAACAGCAAATCCAGGCATTGTAGTTTAGACAGCAGTATGGCACAGAGTAAGACTGCACAGTTTGTATAGAATAGTCAGGCTAATGCATAATATGTCAGTATATAGGTGAGTCATGACATAAATACTGACAGCTGCTGTACAGGATAGAATAGAATGAGTTCGAGAGTAGTAATGCAGTGTTAGGATTGAAGTGCAAGAGATAAAAGCAGAAGTGTGTGGTTTACACCAAGCAAAACGTGCACTGCCTTGAAATGGATTAATGCATTATATTACTACAGGCTTAACATAGCATGAGGATAATGCCACTGGGTACAAATCACATAAAAACTAAAAACAAACAGAATCTTCGCATATCAGGTGTGAACAATTGTAGCTGGAAACAGGGTAGAGTCTGCCTAGATTGGTCAGCCGATGCCACTCGTAGGCCAGGTTAGGTAGGAAAGGTCAATGCTGGGTGTAATTCCTTCTACCCTCTTCTTCACCCGTTATTGCGTGAGTGTGCTGGTCTGAAGTGGAGACAGTTCCAGGTGCCATGTCTGCTTTCCACCTCCAGCCTCAGCTTCAATGGGAGCCCTTGCCTGGTGTCCAGGAGACCTCTCTGTCCTGGCAGGAGGTTTGTGAGTTTGCAGTGGTTGCGAGCCTCGAGGTGCCCTGCGTGAGTGTGGGCAGCAGAGGGGAAGAGGCCCAACGTGGGTTTCTGTCCCAGATTGGACAAGAAGGACTGGGACGGCCTCCGGGGCCAGCGGTGTGACAGGCAAGGTAGAGAGATGTGGTTGGCAGTTAATGCAATGCCATGATTCCCAGCATAGCTGCTTGAAACGAGTGTCAAAGCACTCTCTCCATTCCTGGCCTGCTGAGCCAGTTTGGGTTGGTAGGCATTTCTCTGTGGTGGCTATCTTGGACTCGCCTCGTGGTTGGAGGCTTGGCTGTGAACCAGTGCTGCAGATTTAAGTTTCCCCAGTGGGGACCAGAATAACCCCCACCAGTCACAAAGGGAAGGGGGGGTGGAGAACGGGGCGACAATGAAGTCGCTGGGAGTCACTTGACTGCTGTCAGTTGCTTCCCCAGACAAGTTGGTAGGCCGCAGGACCAGACGGTCGAATTGAGTGCCAGTTTGAGGGTTTTCTGGGCTAATATCGACATATTTGCTGGTTGTTTTGTGCCGTTTCCAGTGTTGGTGTGAGAGGTATATCCCATTTAGTAGTTTTTTTGGTGCAGGAGCTACTCAGACACTGTGACGGTCCAACCCTCTCTGACCGTCTTGGGTTCCCTTTCTCCCAGTAGTTGGCGAATAATCCTTCCAGGCAGAGTGTAGACACAGGCATAGCACAACCCTCCACACATGAGCTGAGGTTTAATGGCACACAAAGCAACAGGATTCATGCAGTAAAACCATTCCTCCTCTGAGGAAAACAAAATGACCGTTAAAAGGTCAGACAGTGTTTGAATATGACAGTTATTGGGTCAGACCGTGTTTGAATGTAACAAAGTATTAAGGGTTTAACTGGTGTTCGGGGGGAGGGGGAAGAAATAAAACAGTCGCACTAAGTCCATAAAACAGGCGTTTTCTTAAAGCAGGCCTCTCCAAAACCCAGTGGTGGTCGGGTTACTTTCGCCACATATCTCCCCCTCCCAGGGAAGACTAACCAGGTACCTGACCTCACGCCGGTCGGTACCTGAGTTAGTCTGGCAGCCCACCCACAACCAAATACTGGACCTGGTGAATTTGATAGCCTGTCTCTGTCCAGTGAGTCCATCAAGGTTGTGTTGGTATCTGGTATTCCTGGTCTCTGGGTGGCTCTCTGGCTTGCAGTGGAGGTTACTTGGGGGGCAGAGATCAGCGGTGCTCTACCCTGGGGCCAGCACTTCAGCTGGGTAAACCGGTGCACAGTCTGGCCCTGTAGCCATGGGATAGGTAGGGCAGAGGCAAGCGGCGCTCTTCCCGGATGCCAGCGCTTCTGCTGGAAGGGGGTCAGTGTGTATCGCAGACCGATCCACTGCCCCCAGGACTCGGTTGGGAATTAGCTGGGGGGAGGTGGGCTCGCTTACCTCCTCCTCCTGGTATCCCTGTGGGGATGGTTGGGGATCTGGACTGTCCGTCCAGCATGCCTGTAGGATTGGAACAGAGACAGTTGTCCCATCTGGGTTAGGGTTGCTTTCCCCCTGTAGGGTAGGTGAGGGACCAGTTGTATCCTCTCCCGGTGTCTCCGGCTGCTGTTGGAGGATGAGGTCGGTTGCCTGCACTCTCCAGGATGCTGGTTGCTGTAAGGTGGAGGGATCGACCATCTGTTCCTCCTGGAACTCAGGCCGCCGCTGGGCAGGGAGACCGACTGTCTCTTCTCCCAATAACACATGCTGCCGCTGGCGAGGAAGGCCGACACCTTCGGCTCCCTGTGCTGGACACTGCCGCTGGGGAGTGAGACCGACTGTCTCCACTCCCTGTGTTGCGCACTGCCGCTGGGGAGAGAGACCGGTTGTCTCCCCTCCCTGCAAGGTACGCTGCCGCTGGGGAGGAAGACCGGTTATCTCCCCTCACTGTTCCACACGCTGCCGCTGGGGATCTGGGCCGGCTGCCCAACATCCCTGTAGGGCCGGTAAAAAGACCTCGATCCCATCTCCACCTGCCATCTGTGGGTCTTCCCAGGACCAGTCTATGAGGTCCCTCAACATTTAAGAATAAGGACTACCTGCCTCCGCACCCCGTAACTCCGGCCGCTGCTGGGGATCTGGGCTGGCTGCCCAGCATCCTGGTGGGCCCGGTGGAGAGACCTCGGTCCCATCTCCACCTGCCATCTGTGGGTCTTCCCAGGACCAGTCTATGAGGTCCCTCAACATTTGAAAATAAGGACCACCTGCCTCCGCACCCGGTAATTCCGGCCACTGCTGGGGATCTGGGCCAGCTGCCCAGCATCCCAGTGGGCCCGGTGGAGAGACCTTGGTCCCATCTCCACCTGCCTGCTGGGGTTCCTCACAGGACCAGTCTATGAGGACCGCTACCTCGGGTACCTCTGGTTGCTGCTGGGGAAGGAGACCGGTTGTCTCTTCCCTCTGCTCTGTGCACTGCGGCTGGGGAGGGAGGTCGCTGCTCTCCTCTCCCTGTGACTCGGTCTGCAGGGGGCTGCACGAATGCTAGCGTTGTCCTCAATTATAGATCCATAACCGTAACATTACCAGTGTCTCCAGGGTGCTGCTCCTTGCACTAGGACGCCCTCCCACCGCTGCCACCAAATGTGACGGTCCAACCCTCTCTGACCGTCTTGGGTTCCCTTTCTCCCAGTAGTTGGCGAATAATCCTTCCAGGCAGAGTGTAGACACAAGCATAGCAAAACCCTCCACACATGAGCCGAGGCTTAATGCTGGGTAGAGATCTGTTTAATGGCACACAAAGCAACAGTATTCATGCAGTAAAACCATTCCTCTTCTGGGGAAAACAAAATGACCGTTAAAAAGGTCAGACAGTGTTTTAAAATGACAGTTATTGGGTCAGACGGTGTTTGAATGTAACAAAGTATTAAGGGTTTAACTGGTGTTCTGGGGGGAGGAGGGGGAAATAAAACAGTAGAACGAAGTCCATAAAACAGAGGTTTTCTTCACACACCCCAAGGGCCATAGTCACAGGACAAGAGGCTGGCAAGGCCTCTCCAGAACTCATTGGCGAGGTTACTTTCGTCACAGACACATCCGGCCATCTTGGCGGTCATGCCCCGCCCCGTTATGTAATCTTTCATAAACAGCATTTTTCTGCAGTTTTAAAGTGCCAATATAGGATTACTCCAACCTTTTTTCATTCCAATTATTTTCTTATTTTGAATGCCTTGTTGGGCATTACTGATTTACTAGAACCCCCTTCCTCAATTCAATTAAAAAAACAAAACAAAAAAAAAACAATAATAACTAGAAAAGCTACAATTTCTGGGGAAATTGTGTGAAGTGTTCTTGCCTCCACCAGTAGTCTACAACTGGAGTGTGCGGAGTAACTGTTATCATTTATATAGCACATTTAATTGCAACGTTGTTGCACAGTTACATTAAACCATACATTTATAGAACATTAGCAGGTGTTCAAAAGGCCCTGTCTATGACATCACTTGCTGCTGCAGCCTGGCACAGTTCAGAGTATTTTGGCGGTTGCCATCTTCAAACGGTCGTATTTTAAAAGCTATAAATCCTACAGCGAAGAGCTTTATATTGTGAGAATCACAAGACCCAGACCTACATTTTGATGCATAGTATGTCTCTGAAGTATTAAAAATGAAGGCACAGTCGCAGTTTAGAAATTGCACTTCAAATTTGAGCTTTGCAGAGTGAAGTTTCAATGAATGTCAATGGACGGCGTTGGTTGCAAACAAATGGTCATATTGTGAAAACTATCAGGACTACGGCTTAGCCGTTGACATGTTTAGTGGCAGCAGGGATAGCTGAACGTTTTGATATAAGATTTGTGTAGGTGTGCCTGAAAATAAGGGAGTGGTGGCAGTTTAGAAATCATGTCCTGATTTTTTCAGCTTTTGCCAGCTCCCACTCTAGCTTTGCCATTCATTCCTATGGGACAAATTGCGCCACAAAAACGACGATATTCCGTGAACCATTCGGCGAAACGTTCCACAAAGTAATAGCAATCCGATCGGGAACAATCTGCACGTTTTGGTAAATTTTTGTCTATGTAGTGTAAAAACTGTGGGAGGAGTTAGGGTGGCAAATTTGGCTATAATAAGAATAATAATAATATATATGTGAGATAACATTAAGTGGTCTTGCTATGCAAGAACACTTAATGAGCATTAACTTACCTTGAGGCGACTCATTATCTGAGTCAGGTTGGGGGCGTACAGTATTTACAAAAAAAGCAGACTATGCAGTGAAGGGAGGGTACATTCAAGGTTTTCCATGCAGGCACTGCCTGCAAAGGTAGAAGCTTATAAAGTCGACTTATAAAGTTACCACATTGCACGCTAGACATACCTATTTTTTTGCACAAAAATGCAAAAATCGCAATTGTTCAGGGCTGGCTAAGTCACAAGAACCGGTGATGCAACTAGCCCCAGGCACAAAAGTGTAAATATTTCTGAATATGCAACTGATTCATACCACCATGACACTTTTAATTGCAGAAGTGGTCATGGTGGTTAGAGTAACCCTTCAAGACCGTTACGATGTACCTTGCAGCCCTGCACAATAAGGGCTTAATGCTGTTAGGGTGGCATGGTACACCCTTACAATCAGCCCTCCTGGCCACAGAAACTTGCCTGGCAATCTCAGTCTGAGGGGTACTGCCTTACAAGCTTAGCCTGCTGCCAGTCTGGCCATCGATAATATATTAACAAGGTAATTCATAAATAGTGCATCTTTATTTGTTAAAAAAAAATGTAACATGACTTATAAATAGCAGGCAAAAGCATTGTGATTGGCTGAGATGATCAATTCTGATGATGTCAGCCAAGAAGACAGATTGGGGCGGAGCCAGCGCCAGCACACACGTGAGCCCCTAGACCCCCCTTGCCACTAGTTATTTAAGAGGGGCCAAGAGGCTATTATGTTTTTTTAACACTATAGGGTCCAGAATACACATTTGTGTTCTTGACGGAATAGTGTTCCTTTAATGAAGTTGTGAACCGCACCTAGACACAAGTGCAGAGTTTCTGAAATAGTTAGTGCTATGGTGTGTGGTGGCAGTCTGTCCTTACTTCAGTACACCCTGCCAGTTTTCTTTCCCATTTCATGGTGACAGAGTGATGTACCTGTTGGGAAATGGGCATAAACAAAAAAAACATTCATTTCCACATTATGCTGTTTTAAGTGGCTGAACAAATGCCTCAAATTTGTTCCATCCCTATGGGCAGGGGCATAGCTAGAGCATTTTGCCCCCCCCACTTAAAATGTTAAACACCCACAATTGTTTTTTATTTTATTTTTTAATATTTTCAAGAATATTCCTAGTCCCCTCAAGACCCAATTAGAGACTACAATGGATTTTAATGGGCCCTGGAGATGGGTCTCTTTAACACTCTGGCCTGTATTCATAATAATAATATAGTAATATAACTAGTTCTCTGATACCCAGCCCAAGTTGGCTCTCCTCACCTTAATGACTGCTGCTGGCTGACTCCTGTGGCAGGCTGGCTAGCTGCTGTGGCTGCTCTGACCAACTGGCTGGCTGCTGTGGCTGGCTTACTGGCTACTGCTGGCAGACCTCTTTCTTCCCTCAGCAGGCGTCTGTTTCTCCCCTTCCCGTTTGTGTGTCACTTCCCCCCCCCTCCCTTCCCCCAGCCCTTCTATGTGCCTCTTTGTCCTCACCAGCACCTTTGTGTGTCTGTTTCTCCCCCCACTCCTTTCTGTGTCTCTTTTTCTCCTTTCCCCAGCCCCTCTGTGTGTATCTTTGTCCCCCAACCAGTGCTTCTATATGCCTCTTTGTGCCCCCAGACCATCTATGTGTTTGTCCCGTCTCAACCCCTCTGTGTGTTTTTGTCCCGTCTCAGGCCCTCTGTGTGTGTTTGTCCCACCTCAGCACCTTATGTGCCCCTCTTTTGCCCCCTCTCCACTTGTGATCTTCTTTTGCCCCCTTTCTTTCATGTGACCTACTTTTGCCCTCCTCTTCCATCGTGTGCCCTTCTTTTGTCCCCCCTCATGTGCCCTCTTTAGCCCTCTCTCCACCTGTACCCTCTTTACCCCCCGTGAACTATTTTGTCCCCCTCCCCTCCTGTGCCTTTAGTTAGCCACCTTTCCCTCCTGTGATTTCTCTAGCCTCCTCTCCTGTGCCCTCTTTTATTCCTCTAACCTCAGGTGCCCTGTTTAGCCCCCCTCACCTCCTGTGCTTTATTTAGCCTCCCTCCACTCATTAGCCTCCTCCACTCTTTAGCCTCCCTCCCCTGTGCCTGCTCAGCCTCACCTGAAGCAGATGGTCCTCATTGGAGAAGCTTCTGCTTCCTGTACCTGGTTTGGCAGGAAGCACTTCTGTACTCTCTATGAGCACTTCCAGTCAGATTGGGTAGAGGAACAGAGGCTCCACTACCGCAGTCCGCCTGCTCGGCCACATTACATTTTGTGGCCTTCAGGAGGGGAGCACTGTGCAGTGTACCCCCCAGGCATGCCCCTAATGAATAGCACCTGGGGTGGACCGCCACCCCTCAATTAGTATTCCAGTGCCTATGGGAATTACACTGAGCACATGTGTCTTTGCTATTTTGCCCAATAAAATCATGAACTCCAGGATGTTAAATTGGAAAGTACTGTTCTTGAAAAGCAAGAATACATGAAAAAAGAATACTGCTCCTTTCCATGTCTTTAGATATACAAATTGTGTTTGCACAAACATTTCAAGTGGTTTTGTTCTAGCAGCTGTTACTAGTAAGTTCTAGAATGGATTTCTGAAATTTAATCTATGAATATTTAGGAAACTTGATGACTTTAGGGAGAAATTCATTTCTTAAGAACTTTGAGCAGTTGTCTCATACCGTATTTTGTTAAACATAAATTACAAAACAAATCTAATTAGTGAACAGCAAATGTCTTTTTGCTGTGCTGTGCAGCTTCATTTTGTAATTCAAAAAACTAAATTAAGAACTTTTTAAATCCTCTCTAAAAGTGTTTTATCTTCTAATGGCACTTGTAGGAGGCATGAAATAAATGAAAACAGAATATAGCAGAGAGAGTGTGGATATTTTACATTTTATGTCACTGATTGTAAGCTTTCAATAAGCCATATTTGTTTAATGAATAGATCAGTGGTTCCCAAACTTTTTAGGTTCAATGTGCCCTTAATATTTTAATATTTTTCCAAGGCGCCCCAAGTCAAAAAATATTTCTAGGTTGTATATATGTACATCACAGCAGCATATACTGGGCCCCTGTTCGTCAGAAATGCTTGCCGTTCAAGTGCAGATCCAGAACCTAATCTTGGGAGGGGCACTGGTAGATTATTTAAAGGGCCAGTGTGTGTATGGGGGGAGTGCAGTGTGCGTGTGTGGGGGTATAGTATGTGTGTATGGGGGGAGCAGTGTGTGTATGTATGTGGGTCGGAGTTATCGTGTGTTGTGGGATCTGTGGGGGTGTAAGTGCAAATTCGTGTGTGTGTGTTATATATATATATATATATATATATATATGTATGTATGTATGTATGTATGTATATATATATATGTATGTATATGTGTGTTTTTATTTTTTTTAATTTTCATATCCCCCCTTCTTGCTTACCTTTGCCTGGGAGGGAGGACAGTACTCATAGTCCCTGGTAGTCCTAGTGGTGAGAGTAAACTCTAGCAGCCTCATGAGCTGCTAGAGTTCACTCTTGCAAGATTCAGAGCGTTGCCGTGGTAACCGCGGCAACGCTCCGAGCTCGCGAGAGGAGAACACGGCGGAGCTGCAGGTTAGCGCTCCCCCGGGTCCTCCCTCTCTTCCCTGGCGGCTGCAGCATTACAATGCTAGGGGGCCGGAGAGGGAGATCTCTGATCTCTCCTCTGGTCCTACAGAGCCAGCAGGGGAGAGGGAGGCACAGTTTCCGGTGCTATGATCATAGCACCGGGAAAATATTTTGCGGTTCCACTGTGTGCCTGTCAGGGCACCGCAGCTCACAGTTTGGAAACCGCTGGAATAGATTTTAAATTGTGATATAGACAGTACTGGGCCTTTGTTGCCCTTTATATTAGTTTATAAAGTCAGTAACCTACTTTGCACAATAAACAAAAAAAACTTCTTTCATTTTTGGCCTGTTTGGACAAAGACTATTAATGAATTATTGATAGTATTGGTGATCCATGTGCCTTTTGTAATGCATAAACTCTTCTTTTTTGAGGATAAAGGTCTTCTAGGACCGCATTATTTGTAATTCATTACAGAGCTAATGCATGAAACATACCTCCTTGAAGTGCCTCTCTTGCACCGAAGTTTTGGACTGTAGTCCTCTTCCTTCACTTAAAATGTAATCTAAGAAGCAGCTATCACAGCCAATCCTGATTCTTTGCTTGTTTTTGGAGGATTACAGAGTATATAAATGCATATGATGTGTTGTTAATGCCTGTTTGGTAGAGAGCTGGACTCCATTGATATTAGACAAGATAATTTATATTTTGGATGTTAATTTTGTCACTTTGTTGCATTTGTGAATGTTTTGTGAGCTGCAAATGATATTGAGGGCTGGCATTAGGCTTCTGCTTGACGTATGTATGTCACATAGATGCTGGGTATGATGTGGATGTCATGGTAACAACAGTGCATTTAGGGTGGTATGTGCCACATAAATCCTGGCTCCTTAAAGGACCACTATAGTGCCCTGAGGATAGTGCTGGGCTATAGGGGGTGGAAGGGGTTAAACTTACCTCTTTCTCCAGCGCTGAGCGGGGAGCTCTCCTCCTCCTCGGCTGAATGTGCATGCGCGTCAAGAGCCATGCGCGCATTCAGCCAGTCTCATAGGAAAGCATTCACAATGCTTTCCTATGGAAGCTGGCGTCTTCTCACTGTGATTTTCACAGTGAGAAGCGCCAGTAGCTTTTTCGACGAGACAGCTACTAGAGGCTGGATTAACCCTAATATAAACATATCAGTTTCTCTGAAACTGCTATGTTTATAGAAAAAAGGGTTAAACCTAGCTGGACCAGGCACCCAGACCACTTCATTAAGCTGAAGTGGTCTGGGTGCCTATAGTGGTCCTTTAACTTTGAGCTCCAACAATCAAGCTAAATATTTCAGTCTCCGTATTGAGATCTGTGTGTGGCTTGCAGGTCACATATTAGATTCTCTAAATGTTTGGTATTTATGTAGTGTTAGTGTGCATCTGATGTAGTTTCCTGATCCAACATGAACCGTGGAAAATTTAACTACTTTTTCTCTGTCTGCTTCAGTGGGCTTTCAGAATCAGATATATATTGTCAAAGGGTTTGATGAATCCATCAGAAACAGAGATGGTATTTATTAATGGTAGCCAATATATCTGGATTAAAACTGTGTTATTCTATTTCCTATTGATGACTTTTTCAAAATGTTGACAATAAATGTCATGACAATTTCCACAAATTTCATCTGTGTGATTTTTTTCTTTAATTATTTACGTAGACTGTATAAATGGTTTTAATGCTGGGCTTTGCAATTTAGTAAATTGCATTCAAATAATTTTTTAATCTATTTTGTTTCAGAAAACCAATGGCGTATTTCTCAGAGAATGGAAACAGTTCTAATGATGAAGAATCAATTCAACACAGTAGTCTTGTCAGCAGCGGATCAAGCTACTCGAAAGATTCATTTGAATCTGTTACTGATGGATCCAATTTTAGCTATGAAAGTGAAACATTTGAATCACTCTCTTCTGACACAGAATCTGATCCAGTTTCACCATCTGAGACAAGTGGCCAATCAAGAATAAATGGGGACTCCCCTGAAGAGCAGTCTTTAGGTACTACACCACACTGGAGACTGATTGATGTACTCCATAATTAACATATATGTATGTCTCAATGTGGCACACTGTTATGAATGAAATAATGTTTTTCTTCCAAGATCCTTGAAGTTAGGACCTGTTACTGCAGATCCACTCTGTTTTACCATTTTGCATAGAATGCTGTGGATATAACTTTTTCTTGGCACTTTAAATACATGACAATAGTCCCTTAAGTGCATACACCTAATTCCTAAATGACACAAATCTGTTGCCATCTCCTGGAAGAATATGTGTTGCTTCTGTAATGAGTCTGATGTCAAATGGAAAATACAGCAGTTAAAATACTTCTTTATATGTTTATATGTGTTTTTGACAATCTTTATTTGAAAGACATTTTAATACAGATAGAACAAAAAGGACAATCTGTGCGACAGAGAAGCTAAAACCTCTTTAATGCATTATTCAGCACAGTATATTGGTTTAATTAAGTAAGTCAGATCTTCATACTTGGTTCCGTCTCTCCTTTTCATCAATATTCTTACAAAGAAAGGCAGATGGATAGGAAAACGTGAGGGGGCAGTGGAAGAAGAAAGACATTTTTTTTTATTTTTTTTTATACTATTGATAAATTGTCTCCATATCCCCCTCTCTCCTCCCCTCCATCAGGGGAATGACTAAAGCGGCCGCCCCCAACCGTAAACGCACATGCCATGTATGAGGGGCAGTTAACTTTAAGATTACTGTCCTTTGTTGTGCAGAGTGCCTGAGCCATTTCCACAAATAATCCCATACAAGGGCTACACAGGTTTTACTATTTTTCATTTTTTATTTAAGTTGCTTTTATTAATGTCATTGCAAATGAAAATACAAAATCACTGTTATCCATAAAGAAATTAACAGTTGCAATAATAGACATGTATGTGATTGTTAGTAAGATGACATGGAACAGATCATGTGCATGCAACAATAAACCTTAGGCAAGTAGAAATCAAGCATGAGTTATGGTGTCAAAACAAATGCATTTATACAAAAAGAGCCGTCATTAGAGCCGTTGAGATCCTATGTAAGACTTGTCAGAAAATCCAAATCTTAGGTGGCAGGAGGATAGGAAAAAAGGGGTCTTGGATATGTCCAACACCTATACATCCTCCATCAATACCATGCTCTGATATGAGAGAGTTTATATGATATGATATATGATATGAGCGAGAGAAGAAAAGAGAAGAAATTTCCGATTTCTGCGCACAGCTGTTTGTGGTGCCTTTAAACATCGCAATCAGACTCCATAGCATAAGTCTCCTCGACCTTCATCATCTACTGCAGCAGAGATGGCGCACCTGGTTTTCGCCACATAGTCGATATCAGGGACTTAGCAGTGTTTCATAGGTCTTGGGAGTCTCAGGTAGATGCAGAGAATGAAGGAAACGTGGGATATTATCAGGCCATCTAACTACAGGCCATGTATTCCACAGCCGGGCTTGGAGGTTAAATGGATAGTCCCACCGGTAAGGTTCTCTCTCAATGTTACAGGACACAGTGCTCTCCCAGCATCTTAGGTTAGGTCCTGGTAGAGGGAGACCTCAGCACCTGGGAGGGAGGCCGCCATAATCTTCTTTAGACTGAAGGTGTGTAGGCAACAGACGACGTCTCTTCTCTATCCATCCTGGCTAGGATTCCTTAAGGCCCTATGGTCCTGATCCAGCTGGATTGTGTCCGGTGCCCAAGCTCCCATGACCTGTTTCAAGTGGGCCTTGAGTGTTACCGCAAGTGGCTCCTTATCTGGTTCAGATAAATGTCAAACCATGATGTTAATCCTCGGTTATCCAAATCCTTCTCGTTCAAGGAGCATGTTTCATTGGCACCACAGCCTGGTGTGGTTGGGCACAAAGTCGGTCCCCAGTTTCCAAGGCTTTAAATCATGTGTCTAGGCAAATCGGTTGGTACGTAATTCACCTAATCTCAGATGGCTTCACAGACTTCCATTACTATATTTGTGTCTGCTTTTGTGAGTATGTTGGCTGAGATCGTAGTCCACTCTGTCCTGATCCGGGCGGGGGTTCCCTCAGTCGCCAATCCAGATAGGGAATTTTCCACTCTCTCTGAGCCTAGAGAGGCGGGCGCCATGTTGACCAGAGGACCACTCAGATCATCCAATGTGGAGATGAAATCATCCATGGTGCCGGTGAGTCTCCTTGGCTTGGATCTTTGTGTTATGCAACATAATTGCATATTTAAAGGCTTAAGTTGGAGGTTTAATAGGCCTGGGGTGCGAAGCCTAACACTCACAAGTCCTGCTCCATGCACGGCCAAACCACATCCCCCTTTATATGTTTATTTTAACGTGCATATTTTTTAATGAATGTATTATAAACCTATCTTGCGCAAGAAAGTGTGATGATTTCCAAACAGATGAACAGATGTGCCAAACAGACAGTAATCTTTAAAAAGTAACATGGGCATGTATATCTTAACTATGTGACCTCTTAGACTCTTTTTGTTTTATAGGTGAAGGGTTAATTGAGAAATGGATAAAAACTCTTAAGCACCAAGAGCTGAGGATCACAGTGTTCCAATCAGGATTTCATCGAACAAATGGTGAGCAAGACCACAAATCACATTTTTAGTCCTGGGTTTTGCATTATTAATAATAATAATAATAATAATATTATTATTATTATTATTATTATTATTATTATTATCGCCATTTATATGGCACCAACAGATTCCGTAGCGCTTTACAATAATAAATACATTTAAAGAGCAGTTAGTGAAGGGAGAAGAGATAAAAAATAAGATAAATAGGAGGAGGAAAATATAGGATTGTAGAATTAAATTTCTGTAATAACCAAGAAAACCCAACTTGGACAAATAGTAATATACATATTGTGAATAAACATCAAGCAAAACACCCACATTTTGGTGAAACACAATCTTATCAATAAGGCTGTGTAAAACCAACATTTTAGAACTGGGTTTCTTTGTTAATGATGATATGGCACTTCAAACAAAATAGAAAAATGTAGACCAAAATGGTGAATGTTTATAATGAACGCTAATCCCATTAGACTATTCCAAAATAGCAATTATTTGTGAGTTAAATGATCAAAGATACTGAATTGGAGTTTAACATCCGTACAAAAAGATTCCAAAATGCAGCTATAGTATTGAACGCCTACAAAACACTGTGCATGATGTTGGATTTATGGTAGCTAAGAAAGATAAAGAAATTGGCTCATATAGTGATTTGTTAACTACAAAATTCAGGGAGCTCTTTCTATTATTTGGATTCTCTATGAACCAAAAGGGGTGTGGTTTATTTTCATATGCAGCCCATAAATCACTTGCAATATCAATAGGGTTCTACATGAATATTGGTTTATTTTTTTTAAAAGAGAGACTATTACAAAAAAACATAAGGCAAGAAACCTAGAATCCGTATTGTTTTCTGTGATACTCTGTCTTGGGAAAGTCCATTCTTGGCAACCTCTTTAACTGTAAAGACGTGTAGATGCATATATATATATATATATTTATTTATTTCTTTGGACATGGCAGGATAATATAGAGCCCATAGTTCATTGGTCTGATTTTATATTCACGGAGATAGTCACTATTTAACTCCATTGACTATTCAAGCACTGCCATGATGAATGCTCATTATATACTCCTCTTAAATTGAATTTGGTAAAAACAATGGTGCAGTTTAACCTTAGTTCAGTAATCAGGGGCATAGGGTAAACATTATGAATAGTGATTTGGTTAAGCCTCTTATAAGTGATACTTGGCTTCAAAAAAACATTTAACAAAGTGCACCATGCACTGCTTTGGAAACAGATCTATGAATACACTTTTAAGGTGTTACCAATGTTCTCTTTCATTGAAGCATTCTTGCCCAGAGACATGGCATATACTTAGTCACAGTAAATGTAGCAAAGACACTCACAGGGTTGACAAAGGAACTATGGTACTGAAACGTTGCTGGGTCCACCTTTTGTAGTTTGGTTTAATAAAATACATCACAGATCCCAGAGTGTGGAGCTGCTTTATTTTACATTTTTGGTATATACTTTGTCACTGAGAGGCAGGAGGACAGGAAGATATTTTGACACAAGTGAATACCCTGATTGTCAGATTTCTGTTGACCTTGTGTTTGATGTTTGTGACAAGAATGGAACTAAATGAAGCATTATACAGTAATAGTGTGTCCTAATAGTAAAGCTGTGCCCTAGAATTAAAATCCAATATGCAAGAACCACAAACTGTGATTTGGGTTTCTTGACAATCAGTTTTATAGAGAAAATGTGTAAAGTATTTGTTCTTTATCTAAATCTTTTAATGACATATGACTTTGGTTGTTGTTGTTTTCATGGTTGGTATGTGAGGTTTGTCAACAAAGACCGAGTCAAGTAATATCACCAATGGTTCTTGAGCGTAAAGAATCTTAGACTTGCATTAGATGAGAACAGACAGGAGTAATCTAGATGTTTTACTAAGGAACATCGACGTCTTATCCTGTGCCTATTGTATCAGAAGGTAGATCTTTCACAGCTGCTTCATCCATGACAACCTCTGAGGGGCTGCCCTCAGGGGAATGGGTTCTGAACTTGATATTATAATGTATTAATCGTCGTTTACCTACCGTTCTAGAACGCTTTGGCTACCATTCGACTATGGAAGCAGATCTACCAGATATATCAAACATATTTTTGAAAGCAGGCAAGTTATAATAATTCAATTCAATAGGCTTTTTATTCTTCCAAGAGGGAAAAATTTGTAGGAAACACACCAATGGTAAGTGTGTGTGTCTTTTTTGTAAAGAGAAGCTGTCTCTTCCTCCGCGCCAACACAACCTAAAAGCCAACTAATTATAATTTATTTATTCATCTTGCTCTGTGAAGTATATGAACTGGAGTACTCTTACAGTGCTGTTTCTATAGCGCTTGCAAAGTTGTCCTTTTAAAAAAATAAATAAAAAAAATAATGCAGTAAAATACAGACCAATCTCCCACATTTTACATGAATATTTGACCTTGAGCCAGTGCGCTGTTTCATATAAAATCATTTATATTCTGGCATTATTGACCCTTTTTAATATATTCATGAAATGTTGGCACTTAAAGGACTTTAATACATTCAAGCAGATTTATATCAGTGGGGTCAAGGTTTTTGTCAAGATATTTAATCCTGATTAAGTTATCTGAACAGAAACACTGTCCTGACATTGTAAAGTTATTTATCAAGGAAGGGGCTCTCTGTGAATGTTTAGAGAGTAGTTGTCACTTACATTGTGCATTTTACAGTTAAGTATATTGTATAATCATATATAATGGCATTTAGAGATGAAAAAAAAAATACATGTGTATGTATTTGAAATCTGCCTTTTCTTGACATCAGTGTCAAGGAGAAATGTGATTGTCATTTTGGAGTCAAGAAAGATTTTTCCTTCTCATTCTGGTACAAGATTTCCTGACAGAGGCCTCAGTTTAATAATATTTTTATATATAAAGAAAACTTCCAAATGATTTATCCAACAAAATTTCCCATAAACTTTATTGGGGATGTTTGTAGATAAATTATTTGAAACATTTGTCCAAAATATTAAATTGAGGCCAAAGTGAGATTTGGTTATCTGACTTTTTTTCATCATGCATAAATAAATTCATGAATGGTTAAACATGATTTACTTGATTCTTTTTCTACCTATCACAGATACTGTGTAACTGTTTATAGCGTGATAGCCTCTGTGGCAATCATTCCCATTTTAATTTTTTTCAGGATTAAAGGATCACTATAGGGTCAGGAACACAAAAATGTATTTCTAACCCTATAGTGTTAAAACCACCATCTAGGACCCCTCATGCCTCCATAAATATAGCAAAATCTTACTGTATTCAAGCCTGAAGCTGTAGATCTGCATGCTGTTTGCCTCACAAAAACAACAATTATTTTTATTTAAATGGACTCATCACCTTTATAACATCATTCCCATACTCTTGAATCCTAATTTTGAAAAGTGATTTTAAAAATTGTCTCTGATTGGCCAATTACACTTTTGGCGCAATTCTCAAATTAACATAGCCCTATTTAAACAACCCCTGCCAGGTTACTACTTTTATCCCATTCTGAAGAAGCCACTTATGGTGAAACGCGTTTATGGTTATTAATTCTGTATTTTACTGTGTATTTTAGATCAATAAAAGTTTTTTGGCTACTTTATTGTACCAATCCTCTTTTTATTGCACTCTTTATGCACTTTAAACAACTTTTTTTTACCTATTCCTGGCATTTTAACCTTTCCTGGTTACTTTTACTTCCACTGGCAATTTTAAAGTTCCAGTACTCCAAGAAATCCTAGGTGGGGATCATACCACCGGCGCCTATCCATAGAGCAGTACCTCTGCTCTATCTTTGTGAGTATTATTTTATTTTCTCTACTACTCTCTTAACCTATCACAATTGAGAGCACTATTGCTGCTTTTTATTCTTCTATATTGGAGCCTTGGATCACCAGACGGTGCTGACGGACGTATCGCCGCTACATATCCTATAAGCGGGGATTATACCGCTGTACGCTATCCACACCAGAGCTGGCCATAGCTCCCTCAAATGTGAGTTTTTTTAACTCTTCTTATCTGCACATTGAACCACATCAAAATTGAGAGCACTATTGTTGCTTTCTGTCTTTCTTTTCCGAGTTCTGGACTACCAGACGGTGTTGACGGAGACCCCCTCCCTACATATCCCATAAGCGGGGATTATACCGCTGTACGCAATCCACACCAGAGCTGGCCATAGCTCTCTTGAATGTGAGTTCTTTACTTTTTGTTACCTATCACACCCTGAACTTTCATACTATACTATTAGTCGCCTCTACCTCTCTTGTATTTACATATACGGAACGGTCTACACCAGACGCATCCACAGAGGAACTCTATCAAGTATCCTAGACCATCTATTGGCACCCTAGCAATACTTTACTGGACTATCTACCCTTATTTGGCGCAGCCCTTCCATATCTTTTTGTATCTATCCACCGAAGGACCCGAGGGGTTTTCCTTCATTTGGGTTGCTGCCTACCTTGACTAATTTTGTGATTACTAGCGCTGAATCTTAATACTCCAATCAAAGGCTTCTCATTGAGGCTTCTCTGTGCTGAAGCCGCTAGTGTGTGACCTCGAATGCAGCATTGCTATGCTTCTCAGTGCACTCTAGTACAGCAAGAAAACCTCTCTGGCTGTTTGACAGCTGGGCAGGCATTTCTGCTAATTGTTATAAAAGTTCTGATTTCTATTGAAATCTGCACATTCATAAACTGTCACAAATATGGACAGAATGTTCCTTTCCTGACAGGATAGAACTGGAATATTCATGTCCTGACTTGCCCAAAGTTAGCGGTGGTGGAACACCCAGGCATCAGCTTTTCTCCTGAATCTGGTATTAAGAGAGACTACCTGAGGAGACAGAACCACTTTCTTCCCTGCTTTCTAGCATTTCACTAAAAAGAGAGTGTATAAATCAGGTGTGTACTTCACACCATCCTTGGGCAGACACGATCTGTACGCTGAAGCATGTATTAAATAAAAATATGCCTTTTGAGATTTCTATTGACATTCATAAATCACTCAACCTTCAGTTATCTGATTAATATAATGTATCCAGAACCATTGAGGGCATTATTCTTCCATACACGTTTCACCATTGTGTAACCTCTGTATTGTTTAGCAGTGTGAAGTGGTAAATGTTTTATGTTTGTGTCTTCAATGTTGAAATAATAGGTTCTGTAGAAACGAAGTATAAGTAGGTAGTGTAATTGAAGGCAGAATAGCAATGTGATGCTAAATATTTTTCTCTATATATTTTTTTTAATAAGGATAATTTAATCTTTTTTTTTTTGTTTGCATAAATTCTACAGTTTTCTGGTTAAAGAATAGAAAATTAGGTCTGCAAGATGGTTTTGTACATTACAATTTTACATGGAAACTGTTAAAAAAAACAAAAAACAAAAAACAAAAAAAAACTTCAAGGGTTTATCCAAGCACCATGATTTGAAGCAGTAATGGTTCAGAGACTATTTACTTGGAAATGATGCACATTCAGTGTTCAATCCCTTAACTGCTGGAAGTGTAACTCTACCACTGTCAGCATAATTGTGGCGTCCTCCATCCCGGCAGGCTAATGTCAATTCTGTGCAACTTTTCTTGCAAAGAATGTCAGTCATTGACTGAAAGCGGTCAGCTGACTCAATGAACATTGACAACAGCAGCTGCAGAAGGTGGACGCGCGTCACCGGAAGCATCAGTGGGCTGAAGCAGTTATGATGCTCGGAGTAACCCTTTTAAAAGTCCCATAAATATGGGGAACCTCTAAGGCCAATTCGCCAATTTTGGAAATTGACTTGTGAATTGCAAATAACTAGGGAAAGAGAACTAAATTAACCAACAATATTATTTTTCCTGCTCTGCTTTTTATTTTTATTTTTATGTTTGTAATTTTCCCAGTCAATTTTCGACAATCTACAGTTTCATGAATAACTCCATAAGTGGTTCTGAGTATGAGATATTACTCCACTCTCCGGTTCACTCATGGTGGATTTTTTTAGAGTTTATATATGAACTCAAAATTTTGGAGAAATGACAAGGACTTTACAAGTTTTAAGCCAAAATAGCTGACCTGGACGTAGTTTTTCCAATGTAGGTATTTTGACATTGGTATTTTCTCCACAGTTGACATTTTAGTAAATAAACCACCAAGCTTTCCACATGGTTATTGTACACATGTCTATCTGTTTGTTTTTTATTTCAAATCCATGCTAGTATAGAAGTAATCTTATAGTGACATTTTAGGTGTCATAATCACCACAAGCTATAGCAAGGTGAAAGGTTAGTGTAGGACCCACCTGAGAGGTTTGCCTTGATGTGGAAGGTGGGCTAAAGTCTCTCATGGCCACTGGAGAAACTAAATAACCTCCATTTGTTTAAATATGCAAAGAAACAGAAGAAACGAGGAGAGGGGATGAAAAATCACCACCCCTACCCAAAAGGTTACAGGAGGTATAAGGGGCCTAACCCCAGAAACTAATAACACCAAGAGAACAAAAATGGGGTAGAGAATCCACTCACAAAAAGTAGTTGGAAAAACCAACCCATTTAAATATACCTCCTGTAACGGACCGTTTTGCACACAAGGGGTTAAAACCGTTTAGGCGATCGTCCCCTTTCAGAGATGCAGGCACAGCTATTGCAGAACACCAAACTCCCGAACTGCAAATAAGGGAATGCTCCAATCTCCCGAACTGCATACAATATAGCACTCCAAACTTCCGAACTGGAAGCATACGAATAGCTGCTAGCAGACGAATAGGAAAAGCACCCAAGCGGCTTACACTCCTAGCAATCAGTCTCTATCAGCATTCAGTAAATCCCCCCCAAAGACGAGACAAGGCTCCGTGTTGAAGGTCAAGCAGTGGTCTGTTTAATGAGGGCTACCTGCCCAGTATTTATGCAGGTCTCCCACCTGGTGGACACTCCCCTGGGGACCAAATGGGAGACTGTGACAAGGGACAGACAAGTAGCCAAATAGGACACACAGTCACATTGTATTCCCACAATGCATCCTGGCTTCCTCCCCTCTGCCCTGGAGATAATTAAGAAGTAATTCAATTATCTCCCAGGACAAAGGCAAATCGCCATTATGCACGTGGGGATACTAAAACAAGAATTATTATTAAAATACACCATGTAGGACATGTTACATTAAAACTATACATTTAACATATCCCCAGATAGCTCAGGTCTGAGTGCACATTATTAAGCGAATGGCGCTCAGACCACACAAATACAGTTCAATCGCCATGGAGCCAAAGTCTTTACAAAGTTAGTTCTCATACGAATGAGCTCCATGGGATTCCTATCTGGGGTATAATACAGTCAGGTAAAACTACCGAACACCGGGCCGTTCGTGCATTCCCGCCGAACAAGAAGGGAGGTTGGCGGCTTCACGCCAAACTGTGTCTGTTTTTAGTTCCATGAGCTGTGCGTTCGCATGTTTAAAATGGCCGGGACCTCGTGTTCGTGATACGAATGGCGGCCACCCAGTATTCGTCAATTAAGCTGCGGTTAACTGCAGCTTCTGGGAGATCAATTGCCGGCACACCCCAGCTCCCAGGTGGGCTTGTCATTCGTGCGGTTGTTCGGTAGATTGAATCTATTGAACACTGGGCAGAAAAGCACGAATAAGTCTTTTCTGCAAGGGAAACAAAGTATTTTAACATGGGGCCATAATCCAGAGGCAGCAGGCGAGCAACCAGGCTTCTCCAATGCAATGTGGCGAGATTGCTCTTGTCACACCTCCTTAATGTAAAGCGTCACATAAGTAAAGTACGAAAATCGTTATTAAACAGAATAATACTAAATATACCGAAAACAGTGTAAGTGATAAGATACATAATGACACCTATTAAAAACCTGGGCACACTAAACCCAAACAATCACATTATTGATTATAAAGTAGAGGTTCATAAATGGTGTTTGCCTTTGAAGAGGCAGAGTAGAGACACCTCAATAAACTAATCAATAAGTGGCACCACGGTCTAGTCATACACTTAAAAGAAAATAAATAAACTGCAGCAAGGATAGGGAGAAAAAGAGCCAGGCTGAGAATGCAGATAAGGGTGTCTGGGCTAAGTATGGAAGTACTAAGGAGTTAGTAATGCCTCCCTAAACAGTGGACAGAAAAAGGTGGAAAAATGGGTAAATGGATGGAACTCTACAAAAAATATAAGTATATATGCCCTTAATTCTAACCGGATAAGGAGAGTAGAGTAGCCCCTATTAGACCCAAATAGTGTAAGTCTCCACAGTAGCAAAAGGCAGAACCATAAATGTGCTCAAATATGTAGAACTACCTACACAATAATAGACCTATCTGCTTAAAAGATCTCTCCAAAATAACACCGAGATCCTAATATACCCTATGCTAACCGACTAGCCCCAAAACACCAAACATATAACTGCTGCTTCATGGCAGCCTAGCAAGGTCCCTAAACAACTAATAGCTGATAATGATACTAAGTGAATGGTTAGACGCCGTGGGAGCCCAGGTATATAAAAAATAATAATAATGAAAGTTAAAATAACAGCATCGGCTGCTAACAGCTCGACAGTTGTTTCGGCGTGTTAGATACGCCTTTGTCAAGAGCAAACTGTTTACTCTTGACAAAGGCGTATCTAACACGCCGAAACGCGCGTAGAGCTGTTAGCAGCCGATGCTGTTAATTTAACTTTCATTATTATTTTTTTATTTACCTGGGCGTCTGCCATTCACTTAGTATCATTATCAGCTATTAGTTGTTTAGGGACCTTGCTAGGCTGCCATGAAGCAGCCGTTATATGTTTGGTCAATAATGTGATTGTTTGGGTTTAGTGTGCCCAGGTTTTGAATAGGTGTCGGTATATATCTTATCACTTACACTGTTTTTGGTATATTTAGTATTATTCTGTTTAATAACGATTTTCTTACTTTACTTATGTGACGCTTTACATTAAGGAGGTATATTTAAATGGGTTGGTTTTTCCACCTCCTTTTTGTGAGTGGATTCTCTACCCCATTTTTGTTCTCTCAGTGTTATTGTTTAAATATGCATATGGATTTGGGAGGAGTGCAAGTAACTTTTTTCCTTTGGTTTTTACAGCATGCTATAGTGGTTATGGTGCCAGCAGTCCCTGGGTCAGTCTGCCAGTAATCAGTCAAACCTAGGGTTGCCACCTGCCAGGTATTTTACCAGCAAAGCCGGTATTTGGGGCTCTGTGGCCAGTGCTGATATTGCAGGAATACCAGAAATGCAGTGGACGGTACTTCTGTCTGATGGAACTCTGAGAGCTTTGCATGTATCACTCTCCACGCTCCCTGAGACAGTCAGAGTGAGGACTGAGGCAGAGTTGGAGAAATACATACTTGCAGATCTGGGAGATCCTCTCAGATCAATATTTAGCTCCGCCCCCTTCCTCTTGCTTCCTCTCCTCACTCACACTCATTGAGGAGTGCTATGGCTGTGTCGTGCATGCCTGTCGTCCCAGCACTGAAGTGGTTATCCGGCAGAGCAGCCTTTTACGGCTCTTCAGTGTTCACCCCTGCCCCCCTCCACAGGACACAGAGATAAAACTTGTAAGTAGCCAGGTCTCTGCAGGGAGGGTTTATAGAGGGATGTCTCTGTATGACTGTGTATGTCAGTGCCTGTATGACTGTATCTCAATGTCTGTGCCTGTATGTCTCTGTATGACTGTGTGTCTATGTATGACAGTGTCTGTATGACTGTATCTGTGTGACTGTGTATGACACTGTCTGTATGTCTGTGTCTGTATATCACTGTATGTCCGTATGTAACTTTCCTCTTCCAAATGTTACACAACATCCCGAGACATTGTGTTCAGTGACATCACGCATACATAATTAATTATAAAAATTAGCATAACCGGCATTTTTTTCCAAGAAAGGTGGCAACCCTAGTCAAAACATTTAGTACTAGTTTGAAACTTATCTTACCGTGTTTGGTGCCTGCACTCCTTCCAGTCTGAGTTAGTCTTATAAAGCTTCAGTTCATACTTGTACGTTATTATACCAGATTTAAATAGAATTCACTCAGAACAGTCACCTGATGTTCTCAACCAGTTCAACAGAGCAAGGTGAATGTGAGACTGTTAATAAACCGTGTAAGCAGCTCCCGGGTCTACCGGACATAATACCACCGCAATGTTCAAAGTTAGCCAAGGTAGAAGTATTTCAGTTGTGGTATTTCTGATTCCTGTTCATTTTCATACTGTCATCCAGAACTCTAATCTTTCCCATGCGCTTTTACATCAATGTGACAGCAGGGAAATTGTTTCTTAAGGGACGTGTAGAAGTCTTTTGTAGAAAAGAGTTATTTCAAAATGTAAAAAATAAAGAAGGAATTGAATTTCATCTAAATCAATTATCTGGGTAATCTCTAATTTCCTAGTGCAGTAAGCATCTGTTTATTACAGACTCTCTCAATGTGTTCATCGTCATCCCCTGGAGCTGAGTCTTATTGTTTTATACACTTAGATGCAGCCCTGATTACCTTTTAATTGCGTTTGCTTAAAAGTGAAGATGATCTTGCTTAATACATCCCGCTGCATAATTAAAGCTGTTTTCTTAAACTAGGATGATGCTAGGTACATTAAGGTGTTAATTGTTAATAAAATGGGAGAACCTTTTTTCCACTTTATCCTTGAAGACGTTTTAAAAGCTGCTGCTTTTGAGGTAATTTCCTTCTCAAAATATATTCTCAAATAAAAATATACTTGTAAAAAATGTTTTTTTTAAAACTTTGTTTATATTTTATTTTTTTTATTGCTTTTTCACCCGAGTCCTTAATATTTCAAAAGTATATATGTTTAGCTCCTAAACTGTAGTAAAGCAACCAGACTTTGCAACATCTCTTTTCCTGTGTTTTGTGGATGCTATAGTGCTTTGTCTGTTCATATTTATGGAATGAGTGAATACTAAGACGTGTTTTTTTTTTTACCCTCTTTCTTACTGATTTGAATTCTCCTTACTGGACCAATCAATATATCAGTTTGCTAAGGGAATGACTTACAATGTCTATCTTATCAAGATGTCTCTGCATTTCTGTCCCCAGACCAACTTTTTTCTTCTTTTCTATTATTATTATTTTATTATTTATATAGGGCCCGCAAATTCCGTAGCTCTATACAATGGGGTCAACACTATTCCTTGTGTTAAGTGAGACATTGGTGTTGTTAGAAAGTCTATGTGTGTCAAATAAAATATAATTCTCAGCTGTAAGTGTTATCAATGCCATTATGCAAAAATGAGTCACTGTTAGATCTTCTTACCGTGTCCGTTAATCATTGAGAGATCCCATGCTGCTCTCATGGTGGCTCATCTGGCAACTTCTGCATCCGTCTGCAGCATACTCCACACTGCCCTCTCCTGGACAGACTGATTTTATAGCAAGTTCAGGCCATGTCAATTCATTCATACTAGATTGCTGCTGAACATGCGCCCTCATGTCTTTTTCAATGCAACCAAGATGCATAATTGAAGCTGTTTTAATGGCTATCTATGTAGTGTGGTGGACACATTGTCTGTTTGTGGTTCTAGCAATCCCAAAGTTCATTGCAGTGTTTGACTCTAGTTTGTTTTTGTTTTTTTTGGCTCCATTTGATTATTTGTATGTTTCAATATCCTTAACTTGGCTTAGTTTGACTACTCCGTATTGTGCTCTTCTGGTTTTGTTTATCTTAACAGTGATTTCCGTTATGCGAACCCAGTTAGTGTTTTACTACATTTTAGGGTGTTTTTTTATTTATTTTTTTTAGGCATTTTGCAATTTACCTCTTGGAAGTATTGTTACCTGGCCAATTTTAAAGACTCTGGGTACCAATACAATTTTTATGCATTTAATAGGGTTTGAACTCCTTGATATGCTTCATTGTGTTGTTTCCCCTCCCCCCCAAATCTTTATAGTTTTTGCACAAAAACAGTTTTGCTGAATGCTACGCCATGCTCCTGCCTCCTTAGCCCATCTTCTTATTCCCATAAATACTTAATTATCAATTGTATGGACACCGTTCAGCAACTAACATCTCTGAGTGAGCTAATTGTATTTTAGAACCTGGCTGCTACAGTCAAAGAAACTACAAACAGGTAGTGATATCCTTATTATATGTCTCCAAGGGTGTTTTCTCCTTCTAATGCCAGTTGCTTTGTAGTTCAGATCAGTCTGTAAGGTCAGCGACTGAGCTATGCATATACATTTGATAAGGAAGTCTGTGGCATTACGGGGCTTAGCTATGGAGGCAGGTTTGTGATGCAACATTCTGCAAAACATTTCTTTTTTTTCGTGAAAAAACTGTAAATATTTGACCCTGCACAAATACATCATATTAAGAGTCCAAACCCATTAAAATTGTATTGGTGCTCTGCATGTCCCTTTAAGGTCTGGTACCTACATATTCCTTTCTTTTTATTTTCTGTATTTTCTTAGTCACTCTGACCTATGTTTGCGTGTCAGATTTGTATGTATACTAGAAGTCACATTTTTAATTGGTTACATTTTCATGTGAAAGGTATATTCTTTGTATTTGATTTTCATTTACCCTGGCTACTCCAGTGTACTGGCTGCATAATTTTGTCAGTGACTGAGCTGCCTGCATATCGCTCCCGCATGGCCAGCCCCATCACTCCGTGATCCTTCTCGTCCTGAGATTGACATACAGGCACTAGGTCAGGTATCAGGTCTTCTCGGTGCGTCTGGGAAGCCGGTGAGATGGTGTCCTACTATGCTCAATGGAGAGTTTGCTTGCCGTGCCTATATCGTTTTATGGAGATAGGGGCAAACCTAGTACCGCATCATGAGTCGTGCTCATGATGGGGAAGGGATTCAGGAAGGTTATACCTTCCTCTTCCTACTTAAGGTACTCTGCAGCTCCCTTCAGTGCTCAGTTGTTGTGCCTAATTGTTTCACAGTTTATTTACTCCCATGATTCTATTATTTTTTTTATTTTTTTTATCTATTGACATTTTCTCTGACCTTTTGGCATCTGACTTCCTGCCTGTTTAACGCCCTTCTGTTTGATTACCTCTCTGGATTTCCTTTTCTTTACCGCATTATTTGTACAATTTTGCATATTAAGCTCCTCCTACTCCTAACCTCTGACACCTTTGCTACTTTAACAATTGGAGTGCATAATTCAACCCCGTCCAGCGCTAGAAGTTGCCAAACAAGCAGTGCATTGAGACCCAATGTGCAATAGATGTTTGAATGTGTGCAATACACTAATAATCTCAGTTCATCAGATACCTGGAAGTGAAAGAGGGAGGTAAAGATAGCATAAATAAAAAGTTTTTGACATTTGATTATCGTAATGTATAGATGAAAGAAATATGACGGAGACATTCTTGATCCTATTTTTGACATTTGAATGATATGGCCTGAATGAGGTCTGAGCATTGCTTCTGTTTGTTATTGCAAAGATTAATATTTTGGTCTTGAAATGATCCTTCGCTAATTTTCTATACAAAGCTATGCATAAAATATTGCCACAAATCCAGCACTGTGCAGGCTCATTTATTCCTAAAAGAAAATCTTTTCGATTTAGATGTGTTAATCTGCTGAGTTGCAGTTCTTATCTTCACATATCTAGAACATCTATTGTAACCTTTCTTAATCATTGCAGTTCCCGTTGCTGACAAGAAATCCTCTGCTCTGAAAATGGTTTCTAAAGAAGAGAGAAATGCACTGGCTGCGTTTTGCATTAAGAAGATAAGAAACATCCAGCATCCATCTGTTAAACTCCAAGACCAATCACATCCTGCAACTCATTCCAAAAGGGCAGTAGTCGAGGATTGCAAGTGCCCTATTCAACTGTTTAACAGAGTTTGGCTAAAGAACACCATGGAAACTATGAAGCAGGTACTTGTGGCAGGGTGACTTAATCTTCTCGGTCCTTTTCTTTTCTCACAAATAAAATATGATCACTTTGCTGATACATCATGCATACATTCTGTGTATTTGCCACTATCCCCTTGATCTATTTTGAATATTTTGCAGATTAGTTCCCTGAGAGTCTGTAGGTATTACTCCGTGTTTTTAACGGTTTTCTTGTCAAAATAGTTGTAAAGTACATTAGTTGGGCAGACTAGATGGTCCGAATGGTTCTTATCTGCCGTCACATTCTATGTTCCTATGTTTAATCTACTTTGATAGCTATCTGTAAAATGCAGTAATCATATGAGCAAACATGTTTGAGATACTGTAACATTTTCCAGTGGAAATAGACAAACACCTTGAAATAATATTACCTTTAAAACTCATAGAAATATTTGCCTCCTTAATTAGGTTGGTAAAAGACAGTTGAACATCAACAAGATGAAAGTTTCAGTTTATCCGTAAGGCAAAAAAAAAAAGGAAAACAACTAATTTACCCCCATTTCAAAATGATCTACTAATTATTCCCTAGTGCAAAAGAAATCACATGATGTCACAGTTCTGCTACCTCTGCATTATTTAATTTGTATAACCTGCCTAGTTTTGCAAGAGAAATATGTCACCCTTCCTGAAGGTATTAACAGAATCTCTAAGTACAACTTGATTTGGCAGTGACTTCAACATCATAGTTGCCCTTACTGTAAACTATTGTTTTCTCTGGTGAATATAAAGCCTTCTGTTTTTCTAACTTAATTGCTTTACAGTGTAACTATTACTAAATCCCAGTTGTAAGTATCTATTCATACAATGGAATTAAATTGATTTTCTTTAAAAATATTTCTTACAGTATAAGCCTTTGTGCATTCTTCTCTAGCTGCTAGGCAATAAGAGTTTAGTAACATAGGAATTCTGTGTGCATTTTACAATACGGAGTAATGGAATATTATAATTTTATGAAGCATGTCATTTATTTGTTTTTGTTACTTTAGAGGTTATAAAAACATATATGCTTTGAAGGCCAGGTATATATGAAAATGTGTGTTTCATTTTCCCACCCACCACCCTTAAAATAAAAAAATAAAAAAGCCTTGTCCAAGAGTATTGGACATATTTGTTGGATGGGTGCTGGTGAAAAGGGCATGGCTAATAGAGTGGGACAGAGTGTCCGACATAACTCCCATGGCTGAGTAAACAGCTTGGGTAACGGATTTTGTCATAGTGGCATCCAGGAGAGAATGAAGTTCTTCCGAGTTCATTTGCTCCTGGTCTGCCACATCAGTGACAGTTGAGCCAGTCGGTCTGGGGACAACCTGGGGGGCAGGGGGCATATTATCCCTAATGGGGGAATCGCTGGAGGCCATGCCCAAATTCTTACTAGCTTGCATTACGAAATAACACCTCTGCAGTAGTTGTGGTTAGGTACAAGAATATATTATTTATAAGTAAACCAAGAAAAAAAGGGGGGTGAGTGGGGGAACCCAAATAAACTAATGGAGTGACTTCCCTGATTTTTTGCAAAACTGGGTACTAGCAATGTATCAGTAGGAATGATACAGAAATACCCAAGGCACTATAAATTAACAGACAGAATATGAAAAAGGCAAGCTCACCAAGTGTTCCCTCAGGAATGGCTCCTGGGGACACTGGTGAGCTGCCCAGCAACTGTGCTGTCCAATCAGCACACACTCCCGCCCCCACAGGCACTAAAAAAGCCCGGGAACGAAAACCGCGGCAAACTGCCAACCGCAAGATGGCCGCCGCGATGCGCACTAGCGTTGTGCGCATGCGCGAAACGGCGCCAGCCGCGGTTACAGCCGCGAACCGGAGGGGGGGGGGAGGGAGGCCCCCGAGACAGATCTCAGAGGCACGAAAAAACAGACTGGGCGGCAAGAGCCTCCACACGGAGAGCTGCTAGCCGCCCTGACTCAGTAGGTGATAATCCACCTGAAGTGAGTCAGAGATGGGAGGGGGGGGAGGGGTTGGCTCTAGGTGAGGGAAAAAACCTAGAGCCAGTTGGGAAATTAAGTGGAGAGATAGGGCAGAAGCCCAACAGTACATAGAAAAATGAACAAATTTAAATGAAACTGCCACAAAATGAATAAATATGAGAAAACACAGGCAGCATACAGAGAGAAAATAAAAATGTACTTAGCTGAGGAAGGCAGCAGCAAGAAAGAGGAGTGGCTTAAGGTCACATGGGGAGTTGAGAGTGCTGAAGGCATGCTGATTGGTTGTATTATTGTAGGACTAGCCCTTTGGGGCATGTTTACATGGTTGATTGTTTCTCTAAAATAAAGTTTTTCTTGCTGCTGAGGAATAAAAGAAAGAGAATAGCATAATACTCGCCTCCGTGTCCTTAATAAAATCATGACTTTACGTCATGAAATTAGTAAAATCTGGTAATTTTTATACACACAAACACCGTCAAAAAGTGAGAGAATTACTGCACTGGAAGGGATATAGCTGTGTAAGAGCATCTAAGTCTTGGTAGGAATGTCTGAGAGTTTTATGTAAATCCCTGGTCCTGGTGTAGATTAAATGGGCCACTTATAGCTGCAACATCACATCTCTTTGAGACTTCCAGAAGTGGTTGTCTTTCTAGGGACATCACTTGAGCTCTCCATTGCTTGGTTAAATTTAGGATAGGAAATAAATCCGCTAAGACACAAATGGAATTTAACTGTCTGTCATTCATGACAACGCATGCACAAATTAATTTACCAAATTAACTTGGTCCTGAGATTCTAGCTCTCTGGGGAACAATGTTGTAAATCATAATCCATGTGCTCTGCGTAGGCCATTAGTGACTTTTATCGTGGACACATAGCTACCTGGGCAGTTCTCATGAAGGAAATTACGGTAAGTCTCTAAAAATGCAGACATTATCTTAATCATCTCTTCAAACAGAACGATCTGTGAACAGGTATTGATGAAGATATTAAGGATAAAAGTACATCACAATAGAGCAAAGTAAATTAACTCAACATGTTCATTTTGTATGTCCCACTTTGTATCTGGTTTCCGCTCTAATCTTTCTCCAAGAGGAGCATATGATTTCAATGTCCACCATTATTTTTCAAGAATGTGTGAAAATAATGAATGCATTTTCCTTTTTTTTTTTTATTCACGTTTCTTTACATTAGCCACTCACCTCTCCATTATATTTTAGTGGTGAGGATGAAGGAAATATAGTTTGATTTCACCAGCTACGTTGCCATTGGTAACCCTAGAGCATGGATGTACTTTCTAAGCTACTCTGCCTAATATTTGGAGGTTAATAGAGTGACAACTTTATATTTGCACCCTATGGTATCCAGTATATACCAAGCTCCGTATAAATATATTCATTAATTTCATTCATTTGATTAACAAGCTTCATACCAGTTACAGCCATGTTTTTTTCTCAAATGCAAACCCTTGTGCTCTTTTTGAGTGATTGAGTGAAACCATTTTTTAAAAGTGTAAATGCTAATATGGTTTTCTTGCAATATTATTTCTCAACTGACATTTTACTAGATCACTTCATAAGCAAACCAGTTTAGGTTTTGACAAGTTTTTAGACGTGTACTTGCCTGAATACATTAAAGCATGTTACAGTGCATTCCTCTCCAACTATCTTAACTTTGGCTAATAAGCCCCGATACTCAGCGCTATATGCTTTACATATTGTTTACCTTTCTCTTGTTTTCTTTTTCTTTTACGTAATTTGTGCAGTAAATTCGACATCTAATACATCTAATTTACTAGCGTGTATTCTCATGTTGAAATGTCTTTACAAAGCTTGTACTTCTCACTTTGCACTACATAAATAACGATTGACAAAAAAAGTGTAGTTAAAAGATCACTGTAACATTGAAATATGTTCTAAAGTATATCTGTAAATATTGTTCTGATTTTCCAACCTAAAAAAAACCTTTATGCCCAGCCTTAAGATTGCCCTTCTTATATCAATGATATTTTTTCATCACCAAGCTATTTACTCTAAGCAATGCTGTCCTTTCATTTGGATCAATAAATCATACTAATTAATAATTCTTTAAATAATATTCATTAGTTTAATTATACATAAAAAGTCCAAAACAAAAACGCAGTACATACACTGGAAATGTTCTACTCATATTGTGTTAATGAAAACTTTTTAAAAATTGATCTTTTCAACTCGTATCCCTTGTTTTGTTGTGAATAATTATCAGCCTTCTATTTTTTTATTTATTTTTTTGAGACGGCCATAAAAAACACATATTTTGCATCCTGCTCCTCAGTCTGACAGCTACAATAAATATTCAGTGAAAATGCTTCATCATAAACTAAAAGCTTGGCTGTAGGGAGAAAGCAGACTGTTGTTAGTGAGCAAACTTTACTGTATTATACAGTAAGAATGTAAACAACCCAAACTCTTACACAAGCAAATATAAAAAGCAAAACCTCAATAGTTTCATATAGGCCAGGGGTAGGCAACCTTTGGCACTCTAGATGTTGTGGACTACGTCTCTTTTAATGCTTTGCCAGCATTATCGCTGTTAGAGTATTATAGGAGATGTAGTCCACAACATCCGAAGTGCTGAAGGTTGCCTTTTCCTGATAAAGCTAGTGCTGCCGTACATAGTGGTGTACTATTTGTGCAGATGTTGGACTTGAGTTTAATTTGGTACAACCACATAGTAATGTTGATCCCTCCTTTTGTCTTTCACTTGAAAATAACAAGGAGCAATTGTTTCATAATTTGGATGTTGTTTGTGCCCTTAAGCGTTATGAAGGCCCTTTAGGAAGTGGTCATCCACTGCTTTTTGGGTCAAACGGCTTCAACTATCACCTTTGACCCAATTTATTAATTGTGTGCCCTAGCTAACCAATCTCCCACAGATGGGGCTACTAAATTAGAAAAAAACAAATTATGATAATTCTAGGATGTAACATTACCATATGTGAAAATGTCCAAGATGGGTGAATAAGGTATAAAGCTCTGTGTACTGAAAGCTATTGTTTGTTGAATAGTCTTTGAAAAGTTACAAGCTTACTCTACCTTTTGTTCAATAGCTGAATCGGATTGATATGCACCAACCATCTACCTGTCCTCATTGTTGTGCTAAGCATGCTGAACTGGCAAAGAGTGAATTTCTCAGAAAGAGGAAGACAAAACTGGAATCTCTTATACTGGAAAAGAAAATTGAGGAGTTTGTTTTTAATAAGGTAATTCTCTTATTTTGATTATATATCTGCAAACGGGTATATTATGTTGCCGTTCAGTGTCAGAATTAAAGATCTAATGAGTTGTCTCCAATTTTAGGTTTTTTAGAGATGTGTGTGTGATTTTCTTACCTGTATGTTATACATTTTATGATCAATATACCAAAAATATAGAATGCACACTCCAATAGCCACTTAGGAAAAATACAAATCCTTTATTAATATAATGCAATTAAACAACATATACAAGAAGTAATAACATGACAAAAAAGACAAATGGTAAACCTCAAAGTAGGTACCCAGTATCACAAAGCCTTATGACAGAAACATGAGTCACGAATCTCCCAACGTTTCAGCACCTACTGGTTGCCTTTATCAAGGTTGACACACTGTGATTTAAAAACTCTCGATTAATATAATAAATGTATTCTCTGATGCAAATTATTAAAAGGCGTGACGTTTTCCCTATATACTGAAAGCCACAAGGGCAAATCCGCATATAAATCATGTCCTTTGTGTTGCAGGTTATAAATGATTTAATCTCAATCATTTTTTTTAGTTGTAAAGAAGGTAAAGTTAAATCTTTTTAGTTTTGCTGAATCCCAACTTACATTCTCTACATCCTCCACAATAGTAAAAAAACATTTTGCTCTTTTAAAAATGTATTTACGTTCCCTTCATTTTCTAAAAAACGTCTCGTTAAAGGGACACTATAGTCACCCAGACCACTTCAGCTCAATGAAGTGATTTGGGTGCCAGGTCCCTCAGGTTTTAATCCTTCACATGTAAATATAGCAGTTTCAGAGAAACTGCAATGTTTACATAGCAGGGTTAATCCAACCTCTAGTGGCTGTCTTCCTGACAGTCGCTAGAGGCGCTTCTGCAACGCTGGATGTCCATAGGAAAGCATTGAGAAATGCTTTTCTATGGAATTTTAGAATGCACACGCATGCGCATTCCGCTCCATTCGGGAGCTGACGTCGGCGGGGGAGGAGAGGTCACCAGTGCAGAGGGAGCGCCACGAAAGGGGGACCCTGAGGGTGAGGGTCCCCCAAAGGATGAAATAGTGTCAGGAAAATGGGTTTGTTTTCCTGACACTAGAGTGATCCTTTAAAATGTGTTTTTTCCTCTAAAAATGGGGATATATCTCCATCCTTTTTAAAGGACCACTATAGTGCCAGGAAAACATACTCGTTTTCCTGGCACTATAGTGCCCTGAGGGTGCCCCCACCCTCAGGGACCCCCTCCCGCCTGGCTCTGGAAGGGGGAAAGGGTTAAAAACTTACCTTTTTCCAGAGCTGGGCGGAGAGCTCTCCTCCTTCTCTCCTCCTCCGTTCCTCCTCCTGGGCTGAATGCGCACGTGCGGCAAGAGCTGCGCGCATTCAGCCGTCGCATAGGAAAGCATTTACAATGCTTTCCTATGGACGCTTGCGTGCTCTCACTGTGAAAATCACAGTGAGAAGCACGCAAGCGCCTCTAGTGGCTGTCAATGAGACAGCCACTAGAGGATTAGGGGGAAGGCTTAACCCATTCATAAACATAGCAGTTTCTCTGAAACTGCTATGTTTATGAAAAAATGGGTTAACCCTAGCTGGACCTGGCACCCAGACCACTTCATTAAGCTGAAGTGGTCTGGGTGCCTAGAGTGGTGCTTTAATAATATGCCAATTTCTACTAATAATTTTACGCAGATTTTGATTGTTCAATGAAAAATTAAAAACAAGTGGGACTTTATCTCTACCAATTTGATTATCATTTTTAACCCTGTATTCAAGAAGTTATTGTCTATCTATTTTCTCCACTTCTTCACAAGTTTGATCTAAAAATTGTTCTTTTAAAAGTCCAGCTTGTTTAAAATATTCTTGGTTATCCATACAGTTCCGCTTAAGTCTTAAAAATTGCCCTTTTGGAATATTGCTCAACCAAGGTTTAAAGTGGCAACTTGTGCAATTGTTAAAACTTATTGACGTCAACTGACTTAAAATAGGTTTTGCTGTTGAATTGTTGGTCCTCTATATAAATTGATCTAAAAAATTAATTTCGGAAGGGCTTATGTCATATGTGAGTGTAATATTCCATTCATTTATATTCAAAGAATCAGTAAATGATTTTAAAGACTCCTCACTCCTCTTCCAAATAATAAATATATCGTCTATTTGACCCAATGTCTTCCCTGGAATAAATAAATAAATTCTTCCCAGTAAGACATAAAAAGGTTCGCATAACTTGGGGCAAATCTGGTCCCCATCGCTGTACGTTTGATCTGGAGATAAAATTTACCCTCAAACCAAAAAATATATTTTTTTTTAAAATCCTGTTTATTCCCTCAATTAAAAAAATCAGTTTGAGGGCTAGAGGTCTTTCCAAATTTGGTTAAAAAATGCCAAGAAGCCTCACAGCCTTTGTCATGCTGAATGTTAGTGTAAAGGCTACTGACATCACAGGTGGCCATAACAAGGGTATCTTCCCATTTAAGATCTTTTAAAATATTTAAAAGACTAATGGTATCCTTCAAACAGGCTTGGCACTGTTTCACAGGATTTTGTAAAATATGGTCCATATACTGAGATAATGGTGATAAAAGGGACCCAATACCGGATACAATTGGCATTCCCGGCAGGTTGTTGACTTTTTTTATGGACTTTAGGAAGTACATAAATAACTGGTATTCTTGGGAATTGAACATCTAAAAAATCATTTTTTTTTTTTTTTTTTTAATTTCAAATACCATTTTCCAGTCACTTATTTAAGAAAAAAAATCTTATATTCTCTTTTAATTGTTTCTATGGGGATTTTTAGGGAGTTCTATATAAGTAGTATGGTCTCTAAGTTGGCTTTGTATTTCCTCCACATACTCCTCTTTTTGCCAAATAACAACCCCCACCTCCACCCCCACCTTATCTGCAGGTTTCACTACAATTGTTTTATCTCTTTGAAGGTCTTTTAGTGCCAGTTTTTCCTTCCTTGTCAGACTATCCTGATACTTGTTTAAAGGTTTAATATGTCTAAGTTCTTTTAAACAAAACTTTTCAAGCACTTTCATTGAATCAGACTTTAAGTTGTTTGCTTAAAAAGTTGACTTTTTCTTTAACCCCTTAAGGACACGTGACATGGCATGATTCCATTTTATTCCAGAAGTTTGGTCCTTAAGGGGTTAAGGTAGTATGTTTGAAAATGTTTTCCTCTTTTTTTTTTTTTTTTTTTAGGAAAAAAGATTATTTTCTTTATTAGGAAAATTACTAAAAAAAAACCTTTTCAGACATTTTCTTATAAAACGATTTATATCCAAAAATGACTTGAATTTGTTATTGTCACAACTTGGAGCATATTTAAAACCTTTATTTAAAACTTGTTTATGTGAATCGGTTAAAAAAAATGTCTGACAAATTAAACATTTCTACATTCTGCTCTTTTTCTTTAAAATTTATCTCTTTTGTATTTTTTCCTCCTCTTCTTTTTGGCTTTCTATTTCCTCCTCTTCTAGTTCCCTTTTTATTGAAATACATATTTTCTCTCTTTCATTCTGGGTAAATCCTGATCTAAAAAATAATCCTCCTTCTCAAAATTTCTCAATCTATCAAAACGATAAAAAAGACAAATTTTGAGGGTCTGCCGTTTACTTTTCTTAAGACTGACTCCTTTTTTCCCCAATCCAGAATGTTTTCTAGGTCTTACTTCAGTCCATTCGTAAGTTTCTTTATTATTTTTACAGTTACTTGATCTTCTGTTTTTAAAAGAAAAATCTTGTTTTTGATAATGAAAATTCGATTTTTCTTTCTTTTTTTTTGGTTTGGAGTACATTTGTATCTTCTTGATGTGTCCTTCCTTTTTATAGTCACGATCTTTTTGGGAATATCTCTTAAGATTAGTATTTTTAGAAGGTCTAACATTCCCGTTTTTGTTATCTTCATGATCTTTTTAATTTCCTCCTTTTAACTTCAATTATTGATACTTTTATGTCGTTCATTTTTTAAATCATTTTGTTTAGTGAGGTTCCCAAATTCCTCCATACCAGAAAAAGGTTCAAGTCGTGTCTAAATCTTTTAAATTCTCCCATCTAGCTGATGGAGAGTCAGTGCCCCATTCCAGATCCCCATAAAAATAAAATTTTCTTGGTCAAAAGTGGGAAGTTTAAAAAAAAAACCTTAGGCCTCTAGGTGTAATTTGAAGACTAATGTACTTTTCTAAGGTAAAAATATCCTACTTTATTTTCATTTACCTAATTAAGTTTTTCTAACTGTTGGCATATTTTGAGGTTTACTATTTGCCTTTTTTCCCTTTTTTGTCACGTTATTACTTTTTGTATATGTTGTTTAATTGCATTATAGTAATAAAGGATTTGTATTTTTCTGAAGTGGCTATTGGAGTGTGCATTCTATATTTTTGGTATATTGATTCATTGGGCATATTAGGAAGTGCCTATATGGTTTCCACCTAGCAGTAATATACATACCTATTGTCTTTCTATGTGGTTTTGGTTTTTATACATTTTATGATCACCATGATACATTAAAATTGTGGTAAGCACTACTATGAGTTTGTTTTCTTATTTACAATATTTGTCAGGCTTTTAAACTATCTCCATGGTGATATATATATATATATATAGCCACAGCAGAAGGACTGGGCTGCAACCAAGACTTAAAGGGCCATCCCAATCTCCTCACACAGTGCATTGTGATAGTTATGGTGCACACAGTCTTTAGGAGCCAATACTTGGGCCAGGCTGTATTTAAAAAAATAAATAAAAAAAAATTAGCTCTCTATTGTACCTAAAACTAGATCCATAGGTTAGTGCCGCCTGGGTAATTTGGAAAATTGACTTTACCTCTCCACAAGTTTGATGGCTAATGCGTAAGTTTTGAAGATGAACTCTGTCTCTGTTTTTGTCAAATTGATTGATTGAAAATAGTTTGCCACTATCAGGGATGCCACTATATTGAGCTGTAGTTTGCGTGGTGCATAGTGTACCTTTATAAAAAGTAACTATTTTTTATTTATTTATGTAACACAACCTCAATGCTTCTGTAGCTGCTAAATGATTTTAGATTGAAGATCTTGGTGTTAACATGAAAATTTTATTGATTAGCTACTCCAAATTACAGCTACTTGAGAGTCATGACTTATTAATTGTAGAATGAGCAGTAAAGCGTCTTTCATTCCCAAAATATTGTTTCTATTTTATCTTTATCCAAACACTTCAGGATTTCCCAAATGATTGTATTTATTTTCTGTTGCTTCTTTGGACTGCTTTCCTTCCCTAAGTCTATTTGCTTTATACTCCTTTAAAAACAAACAAAAAAAAACCCATATTTTTTTGTTTCTATTCTCTTTCCACTCAGGATGCTGTCACTTTAATTGGAGAAATTCATCAGTCTCTCCCCAGGCTGTCTGATGAGCGCAACATCATTTGGCAGAGACTTTTCTGTAGTGGTGAGAAGACCTGGAAGACCCTGTCATCACCTAGCCAGTGACAGCCCAGACACAGTTAGAATTACTGCAAACATCATGTCAGCTCTTCTCATTTTAATGTGTATATATGTGTGAACTTTTTTTCTTTATTTTAAGGAATTTGTTTACATTGTATCTCTATCAAATAATGCATTATACATTGTAAAGTGTAACTAAGGCAGATTAAATGAACAGGTTGTGAAATGCTGTTCTGTGAGGTGTACACATTACCCAGTTCAAAACCTTACAGACATGCAACCTGCCATTACTTATTTGAAAAAGCCAAGGTACAATTAATGTCATTACCATAGTTCTCAGAGAATAATTACTACTGTTATTTGTAAAATTTAGTTCTACAAATCTATTCTTACCTATTCTGTATCATATGTATCATACAGTAGTGCCAACACTCATTGTTTGCCAGCTTGTCAATTGAGGGGAAATTTGAAGGCCAAGGGCACAATCTTTTGCCTAGTGCATTATCCTGCTGAAAGAGGCCACTGCCATCAGGTATCTCCAATGCCAGGAAGGAGTAAATGTGGTCTGCAAAAATCTCTAAGTAGGTGGTTCGTGGCAAAGGAACATCTACATGAATGCCAGGACACAAGGTTTCCCAAAGGAACATTGCGCAAAGCATAACACTGCTTCCGCCAACCTGCCTTCTTCCCATTCCTAAAGTAAACAACCCACACACATCCAGCCATTCGCCTGATCTAAAAGAAAACATGATTCATCAGACCAGACAACCGTCTTCTATTGCTCAATGGTCTGGTACTGACACTCACATACCCCCTGAATGTGCTTTTGGTGATGGACAGGGATCATTATGGGTCTGTGGATACACAGCAAACTGTGATGCACTGTGTGTAATGACACCTTTACATCATGGCCAACATTACGTTTTAAGCAATTTGAGCTACAGTAGCTCTTATGTGTGATCGGCCAGACAGGCTGTTCCCCTCGCTGCATAAGGTTTCAGTATTAATACTCTTTTTTTATTTCTTGTTTTTTGTTTTTTTTTATAATGTCAAGAAGGAAAAATAGGATTTTGTTAAATAATGTATGAACATACGGTTAGCATACCTAATTGAAATAACATAAGGAATGCCAGAGTACTGGCTTAGGAAAATAAAAAATCCTGAACTTCCTTCATATAACCAATAATTTATTTCTGTATAATGTCATTTACTGTTAAAAGGATATTCCTAAAGGAAATGCATTTCCTGTTAAATTATTACTAAAATGCCCTCTTCTTAAAATTATGTATTTCTTCCAAATATATCAATAGCAATATTATTTTCTAAAGGCTGGATTTACAGCACAAATTGAGGAAATTTAGAAGATAACATTGCATAAAAGTCATTGCAGCTTCAAAAGGGGAAGTCTGTATAGAGTTGCACAAAATTTTTAAAACTGCAATATATGCAGAGTTTTATGCAGAGGTCCAATCTTACTAAGTTTAGAATCTGATATTCTCATAACCATTACAAAGATTTGAAATTTTCAGTTCTTCTAAAATAACTTTGTAATACAAGTACAGCTCTGAAAGAGTATTGCAACAACTTTCTCAGAATGCCATGCAAAATATGCAGATGCAATTTGGCAACATTGTGTCATATTTTAGATGAATAAAATGGGAATGCTAACTTCCCGACTTGTGCAGCAGAATTGAGTGTGCTTTCCCTTAACTCCAAAGAGCGTTTTACTCCATTAAACACACATTCTCAATTATTACTGGTGGGAATTAAAACGTAAGCTATGACAAACCGAAATGAACAATTACTCTTTAAATTCTCTTTCTTGGCAAGAAAAGTCAAGCAAAAAAATAATTTTATATGAGACAAACTTTCATTCTCTCATGAACAATTTTAAAAACACAAAACCACAACAAACATTTAGAATACTTGCGTCTTGCTATGACATCAAAGCATGTAATGCAACAGCGGCTTCTTTTTGTGTCCCATGATCACAATGTAAATTTAAAGGGGGGCATACTGAGCACCATAATTACTAAAGCACATTTTAGTTATGATGCACACAATGCACTCTCACTTGTGTTTGTGAATTGGTTTTTAATTTGTTCGACAAAAAAACTGGGGCTATCTGGCACATGAAGCTTGATCCTTTGCCACTTGGATAATGGATAATCACTTTTGCATTATCAGTCCAAGATGTGCAACCTAGGACTTCAATGATAGGCTGGGATGAACTGCCTCCAGTGTTCTGAGCCAATCGATGCTTTCCATGGTTGCAGAGCTGTTTTGTACACTCTGTTCCACAGTAGCAAGCCTCTGCAGTGGTGCTGGGAAAACCACACCAAAACTGTTTGACACTAACCAGACACAGGGCGTGAAGCACCATAAACAGTAGTTTTAGTGGTTATGGTGCTTAGACTACCTCTTTCATTAGATATCTAAAATTACCAAAGCACTGACTTTATAAACATATGGGCAGGGATTGGGCATTTCAATGTGGAGTGATTATACAAAAAAAGGAATTATGTTTTTAACTGTGTAAGTGGAACATCACCTTCAAGCCCTACTGTAAGAAAGTAAGTATTCTCTAGGGGATGAAACTTTAAGTTACATCAATGATGATGACAAGCTTGAGCCCAAATAGAAAATCTTTTGAAGAAACATTAGCCTTTTTATTTTCGACTGTACAATATTCTCCTTGTTTTCTTTCCTCGTCTTCCTGCCTGTCCATCCATACGCACTTCTCTCTTCTATTCAGACTCCCGCTCTTCTGTATGGAGTCATCTCAATTTCTTCTCTCCATCCTTTCCTGTCTTGGTGCTCACTCACTATCTCTTTCCTCTCCCTTCCCCCATCCACATTAGCCTTCCATAAATCCTCACAGCTGTCTCATCCCAGTTCACAATTGTTATATCTCAATATTTATTCTACCTCACCATATCACTGTGCTGTGACATCAATCCTATATCTATTACTAAATATCCTCTTCATCTCACTATTCAATAGCAGTTCCTACTCCTTTTTACCGTATCCGTACTGATTTTTTCATTCATGCATTCTCTCTTCCCATTCACTGTGAATGCACACATCTACAACCTAGCTACTGCACGTTTCTTACCACTTAAGTACTTTAACATGTGCTGATATCTATGACCGTGGACACAAGTTTCTGATGATAAAGATGCTGCTATGGAACATCTATGCCCATCTCAAATATAATTTTCTCAAGCCTCTAGGATAGAGGACTGACACTTAGTATTGATCTCAGTAGAGGTGACACTCATGCATAAGTTCACCATCACTGACAAATCATGTACACAAAATCGTATTAAATCTTTTCTGTGCTAGAGCTGAGCATTGCAGTGATTTATAATGTGGCTCTCCCCTTTAAGCAACTCAAAGGGTAAAAAAACTCAGAACAGCATATGTTCTTTGCTGATATATGTATTGTTTCAGTATTCACAATTTCTATTATTAAACCTATTAAGTATGTCCGGGTTCATCAAGTTTACTTCATTCTTCACTTTTTCAAAGAAAAACTTAAACACGCAGTTAAAGTTAAAAATGACTTCATTTTATTTTCTTTCATTTGCAATAAATCATAAGATTAATTGGTGGTTGTGCCACCAGCGTGCCTTTTAGCAAACCCCCCCTCTGTGGAAAAGAAAGACAGTATTAACATAACAAGTCTTGCATCTATTCAAACACTATAGTAATCTGCCACCACAATATGAAGAAATTAACCAACGTGTTTAAAACATTCCAGTTTAATAGCCCTCTTTGTATGGTACATAGTGTGTTTTGTTCAGAGAAGCAAAAGCTGAAAGTAGGACTAGTAAGTACAAGCAAGATTCTGTAAATTATTACCGGTATTTTTTTTTTTTTTGGAGGGGTGGTGTAGAATTATATTGAGAAAAAAAACACCTACATTTATAATACATTCAGTTGTCTTGGAAAATATTGCTGTACAACCCACGCAAAGCAGTTATATCCTGCATGGCACATAAGAATAGGATAACAAAATAAAAACTTGCAGTTTCGGGGCCCCATTTACGAAAAAGAGTAATTAGAACACATACTCTGAGCTCCTGGTGTGAGTAATTAAATGGTTATGAGAAAAGTTCATGTTACAGTGTGTGTTGTTTTTCTTTTGGAGTAGGCAATTTATTGTATGTCTTCTGTACTATACAATGACTCATGAAATGCCCATGACATAAATTAAAAGGATCAATCTTAAAAATGTCATCAACTTGAACTGTTACGCCTTCCATATAGAGAAGGAAGAGCTATTGTTTACTCTTAAAAACATGCAATTTTGGATACATGAACATGGGCAGATAAGATTGACATCCAAAAAAATGATCTATGAATTTGGTTTATGCTATGTCTTTGTAGATGGGCATTGTGTAAAATGAAGAACTAAAAGATGAAAGGAACCATAAAATAATACTGAACATATGCAAATTAACCAAAATCAAGTACTACAACATGTTCTCTTAAATTAACGAAACTATATTATACATAAGTGCCTTTCAGTTTAACTGTTCTGCATCTTATGATTTTTTTTTAATTCTTATCCATTGGCACTTTACTGAAAACAAAATATAATACAGATTAATTATATGAATTAAAATCACATAAGCAAAAATATCATTAGTGGCAAAACACGTTCACTAATCAGTCTTTTACGGTTAGTCAGCACCTTTTTAATTCTGAGAGTTGTTTGTTAAGAAAGCTGCTCAGTATATAGAATTTGCAATACGGAATGCATTTTAGAGATGGCCCAGCTCCTGCAGAGCTGATGATATAAAGATGTTACTGTTATACTGAGGTGTCTTTTGAAACACTTGTGTACGACCGTTGTTATTTTGAGCACACACTGCACCGTTACATTTATTGCAGGTCAACGTCTCCTTGCAAAAGTCAAGAAGTGCAGGATAACATGTTTTTCTCTTGGTCTTTCTGGTACTCTTCCTGTGCCCTCTGAAATTTTTGGGCTCTAAGCTTCCACTTATGGAAGCAATAAGTCAGTAGTGATGTCATTACCAAGGAGAAAATGATGGTCAACAACACTATCAAGACAACTGTAGAGGACAGAGCACCATCTAACAGTCTGAGCTCCATGTCCTCTGTCACATTATGTCCTGTGAATGCCTCCAATTCATCTTGATAGGACACAGATGGAGGTAGATCGAGTGTGGGCCTCATTGGATTAATTAGAAGGATCTGTTTTTTAAATGAACCATAAGAATAGAAATCTGTCCAGTGCTTTGTTAATACAGTTTTGTTCACTGTTGCATATGTCTTCAATTAACAACTCATACATATATATATTTATTTTATAGTAGTCCATTTATAAATGTTTTGCTTTGTAAGCTAGCTTCCAAACTGATATGTCCGAGTGGTGGAAGAGTTACAGCCACTGTTGTACTACCACCATTCACATATTAGGGTTTAATCCATCTTTATATGGGAGGTCTGTTAATAAAGACCTGATGTCAGTGCTTGATCCAGAGAGAAGCAGTTACAGCAACCAGGAATTGAAGAATATTTTTCACTTAAGTCGCATCATTGTTTCCATAAAATCCAAAAATTGTGATGTAAATTAAAACAAAAATTTAAAATTACACTTATATTTACTGGTGACGCTATTTTCCCACCATGCCTTGCTGAAGATAACTACAATAGCTTTTCGATCCATCAGAAGAAGACATGTATGAAGCAGTTGTCCGTGATGTGAATAACAAATTGTTGATTTCTAATTTTGATACTTTTTTTTATTTTTTGGTTGGACCTACAAAAAGAAGGTATGGTAAGTATAATCTCAGATAATACATTATTTGGTCATTTAAAGCACAACATTCTTCTTCAAAGCCATAAAAGTTTGGTTAACGTTGCCAACTTATATGTCATAAACAAGCGAGATTTTAAAATCAGTAGGGATTTACGGCTTGCTTTGTATATATTACATAGAAAAATGCATTTAACATATAGAAGTTCTGCATGTCCTACTTTAGCTTTGCCCCAAGGGATGTGATACACTTTTTATTTATCTAGGGACTGGATGAATTCTCTGAACCATTCCAGGTTTCCCTTAGTGTTGTGTGGGCAATTAGTAAAAATGAACATGTGTATGGGGTCACATGCCCACATATTCTGATTGATAGCCCTATGTTACTGTTCATCCATGAGTGCCACTTTTTTTCACTAAACTCAAAAATGGATAGAAAAAAATGTATGCATAAATAAAACACTAATATGTCCTTGTGTAAAATTGTTGACAAGATTCTTAGTGTATGACATAAAACATACATATAAATTATGAAAAATGCTCACTCACAAAACATTGGTATCACTAACTAATAAGGCTTAAATTAGAGTTCTCAAAAAACCAAAATCATACATTTCCATGGTTATTTACTAAAGTGAGAATTCAAAGTGAAAATCTAATTTAAAGGGATATTATACGCACCAAAACAACTTTAACTTAATGAAGCACTTTTGGGTTATAGCTCATGCTCCTGCAGTCTCAATCCTCAATCATTTAGGAGTTAAATCACTTTGTAAATTCAGCCATAGCCACACCTTCCTGCATGCAACTTGCACATCCTTCCTAAACACTTCAAGTAAATAGAGATCTAATTTTTAAACTTCCATTATTGTTTAAAGGACCACTATAGTGCCAGGTAAACATACTAGTTTTCCTGGCACTATAGTGCCCTGAGAGTGCCCCCACCCTCAGGGCCCCCTCCCGCCGGGCTCTAGAGGGTGTACGGGGTTAAACTTACCTCTTTCTCCAGTGCCGGGCGGGGAGCTCTCCTCCTCCTCTTTGGCTGAATGTGCATGCGCGGCAGGAGCCGCGCGCGCATTCAGCCAGTCCATAGGAAAGCATTCACAATGCTTTCCTATGCATGCTGGCGTCCTCTCACTGTGAAAATCACAGTGGGAAGCGCCTCTAGCAGCTGTCAATGAGACAGCCACTAGAGACTGGATTAACCCTTTATAGAAAAAAGGGTTAAACCTAGCTGGACCTGGCACCCAGACCACTTCATTAAGCTGGCACTATAGTGCCCTGAGGGTGCCCCCACCCTCAGGGCCCCCCTCCCGCTGGGCTCTAGGCGGTGGAAGGGCTTAAACTTACCTCTTTCTCCAGCGCCAGGCGGGGAGCTCTCCTCCTCCTCTCCGCCTCCTCTCCTCCTCTTTGGCTGAATATGCATGCGCAGCAGGAGCCGCGCATGCATTCAGCCAGTCCATAGGAAAGCATTCACAATGCTTTCCTATGGAAGCTGGCGTCTTCTCACTGTGAAAATCACAGTGAGAAGCGCGGAAGCGCCTCTAGTGGCCGTCAATGAGACAGCCACTAGAGGCTGGATTAACCCTTTATAGAAAAAAAGGATTAAACCTAGCTGGACCTGGCACCCAGACCACTTCATTAAGCTGAAGTGGTCTTGGTGCCTATAGTGGTCCTTTAACTTTGAATTTCGTATCTCCTGCTTTGTTAATAGCCTGAAAGCCTTTGCAAGAGCCTCCTGTGTGTGAATAGTTAAATTTACAGAGCAGGATATAAAAACTTCTAAAGTAGGTTAACATCTAATTGCAAAATGAAACAATTTGTTTTCCATGCAGGCTGTGTCAGTACAAAGTCACGGGAAGGGTGATCAGCACTGCATTTACAGAAACAAAAGTGATTTAACTCTTAAATGCCAGATAATTGAGCTGTGAGACGAGACTACATGGGCATGATCTATAGACTGCTTCATTAAGCTAAAGTTGTTTTGATACCTACATTATGCATAGGTGACTTAGAATTTTTCCTGTTTGGCTATTTTGACCTTAAATTTGAGATTGACTTTGAATTCTCACTTTGGTGATTAATCCTGGTAATTGCTAGAAACCTAATGTTCCTTTTCCTCTCTGCATAATGTGTATCTTAAAATTTTGCAATCCTGACTATGTCAGCTACCTAGAGCGGTTAGAAGCTACTTTTCAGTTTATTCAATAAACAGTGAATTTTGTTATAAGGAAATCCTTATTTTAAAGTTTAGGCCAAACTTGTTAAATTAAAGAATACTTTTTCATCTTTTCTATTTTGAAATTTGATTTTAAATTCAATCATGTCACTGTTACTGAACAAACCATGTTGTATCTATTAGTATAAAAGTTCAAGCCATTGCACCGCTAATAATTCATCAAGCCTAATAGCTGCCCCTCGCGGCTTCAAAAGATAAGCAGAATTCTAACCTCTGCAATTCTGGGGTATTGTTTGACTAGTTGCAATAATTAAATATGCATAAGGCTTAAAATAAAACACACAAAAAAAGAATACCCTGTTTGGTCTTTATCACACTAGGGACATTATTGGGGGCTTAACATAAAAAATAAATGGAAAATATTAACAAAAACCTTGTTGAAGTCCAGATGCCAGTAACATATGATTCATGAGCTAAGTTTATATAAAAGTGCAAAAAGTTTGAAATGTTGTTTATTCCACAGCATTACCCATCATAATTTGCATGGAGTGCAGTTAAATATAAGTACCAGAAAATAGATACTGATTGTGGAAGCACCTCATTTGCCTAGAATTTTAATCTATTTTTTTGGTTGTTAAAGGTAATGGAGCGCATTAAAGTTTCATGTCTGCAAGTTTGATAGCTTTCATGGAAACAACAATTGCTACTCAAAAGTAATTATTTCTAGGAAGAGGACACCCTAGGGCAGTGATGGTGAAACCTTTTTGAGCCAGAGTGCCTAAACTGCAACTGAAAACCAACTTTTTATCTCAAAATGCCAACACTGCAATTAATCATGAAAACGGAAATCAGGCAGTATGTAATATGTGTGCTGTGTGTTTATTTTAATTTAACTGCATTAATATAAAAAAAAACAGAAAAATGCTTGCCTGATGTCCTGCTTACATTTCTTAGCGGGGGGGGGAGGGTGGTTCAGTGGGGGTTAATAATAATTACTTGTTAGGTCAGCTGGAGTTAATGATTACCTTATTTTCAGTGGGGGTAAATAATATATCCCTGGTGGTCCAGTGGTGGAGTGCAATAATCGCTCCTTCTGGTCTGGTGCCATGTTAGGAAGTAAGAGCATAGGCTGGGAATCCCGACATCTGTTCTTACTCCCTCTCTGAGCGCTGAAACTGCAAGGCCATAATTAATATAGTCTGCACCAGGCAGAAGTGCAGACCATGCACTCCACCACCTCATCACTAGGCAATCTGTGGCGGACCTAGCCACCTATTTCTTATGTCTTCCTGTAGGTTGGATTGGGAACCCCATTGCAGATGCTTTCCCATGTTAATTTGTGTGTTTATCCCCTTTGCCGTTCAGGAGATGGCCTACGAACAGAATCCATTCATCTCCCGAACGAGGACCACCCCATTAGCACGTTTACACCAACCCTTTAAGTGCGAAACTGCAAGGGAAACAATCCATGAGTGCTTCCCCTGGGTGGCCGTCATTTCGTACAACTGAACACATGACAGAGAGAGAATGGCGGCCATCTTGTCTCCCGAACGAGGGCAGTGGTACGTGGTCGTCGAGTACCTAGAACTCTTTTTAGCTAGGCACTCGAGCGAACACTGGTAAACCTTCGACTACTGCCCGTTCACAAGCATCTACATGAACGGCGTTCGGGAAATATAAACTACCGAACAGGTAGAGCATTTGTATCCTGAAAACAAGAGATTCCCTTGTATGATGTTCGCACTGAAAACTATTTCCCTGGAACTTTACTTCGCTGGCATTTCCATTTCACCAAACCGATCTGATTGATTCTTGGATATTTTGTACCGTCAGATCGGGGATATCGGGGAATGTACTTTTTGTGGGGTTCCTGTGGTCAGTGGGGACACTTTTGGAAATCAATCTGTGTAAATAAGATGGTTTTTTTCTTGTTCTAAATTACATTTTACTTACATTAGTTGTAATTAGTAAGTCACCTAAAATTTCGCAGAACAGCCAAACCCCTAAAATTAAAGTGGCCACCTTTGTTCATTCGAAATGTTGGGAAGCATGATATATAGAGCTGTCACTAACAGGATTAGTTGTGTGTAAATTTCAAGGAATTCAAAGTACATTTAAAATATTACATCCAAAATAGCCAAATTAAAAGCCTAAAAGTTCAAGTTTACTTTGATCATTTACATTTTTAGTAAATAACCTTTTATATGTAGTTTTAACTTCCAGTGCTCGTCTGACACTATTCCACATGATCAACTTTATGGAGTTTCTGGTATTATAAATTTAAGGCTAGTTTCCATTTAGGACTCAATTGCTTCATTTAGTTTATTGGCAATATGCCCTGAAGGTTGAGGAAGTAATGGCTAATATGGTATCTCTCTAGCAGATGACAATCTAGTTGCTGTGAGTATAGCTCCCATGATGATTACTTGTATTCCAAACACACAATTTCAGTTAGTATTGACACATTTATCTGTGTTTACTTTTTTTCTTCTTCTAAATAGAAATATTTGAATGCTAAACCATGGAAAAGTATGATATGGCTAGGTTTTTCTGTATACTATGAAGATGATTATATAGAATAGCTGTACTCTGAATGGGAACCCATAGGGAGTGATACAAGTAAGAGAAATATACTTATTATTTCCATGTTAAAGGGACACTATATTCACCAAAACAACTTTAGCTTAATGAAACAGTTTTTGTGTATAGATCATGCCCCTGCAGACTCACTGCTCGGTTATCTGCCATTGAGTTAAATCACTTTGTTTCTGTTTATGCAGCCCTAGCCACACCTCACCTGGCTATGACACAACTTGAATGAAATCA